TTCATTAACAACCACAGAAGCACCCAGCAGTACTACACCAGCTGTAAGTACTACGGAAGAAGGTACGACAACTACAACTCTTTCCACTACAACAGAGGAAGTGACTTCAACCACACAAATAGATACAACTACAGAACCACCTAGTACCACTGAAGGATCGTCCACAACAACTGAGCCATCTGCTACTACCACTGACGGCACAACACAGTCCACTACAACAACTACTAAAAATCCCTGTGAAGTACCTCAAGTACCAATAGACTTTAAATGTAATGCCAAAGGGCGTTTCCAAAATCCAAACGATCCATTCTGCACATCCTACTATATTTGTAGTCTACTTAAAAATGGAACATACCTTAAAACGCCATACAGCTGCCCATCAGGAGCATTCTTTGACCCCAGTAGTCTTGTTTGTAATGTCAATTACAAATGTGCTTGTTCATTAACAACTACACAAGAACCCACCAGTACTACACCTGCTGTAAGTACTACGGAAGAAGGCTCTACAACTACAACTCCCTCCACTACAACAGAGGAAGTGACTTCAACTACACAAATAGATACAACTACAGAACCACTTAGTACCACAACAACTGAGTCATCTGCTACTACCACTGACGGCACAACACAGTCCACTACAACAACTACTACAAATCCCTGTGAAGTACCTCAAGTACCGATAGACTTTAAATGCAATGCCAAAGGGCGTTTCCAAAATCCAAACGATCCATTCTGCACATCCTACGTTATTTGTAGTCAACTTAAAAATGGAACATACCTTAAAACACCATACAGCTGCCCATCAGGAGCATTCTTCGACCCCAGTAGTCTTGTTTGTAATGTCAATTACAAATGTGCTTGTTCATTAACAACTACACAAGCACCCACCAGTACTACACCAGCTGTAAGTACTACGGAAGAAGCTACGACAACTACAGAAGAAAACATCAGTACCACTGAAGGATCAACCACAACAGTGGAACCGACGTCTTCGACAACTGAAGTAACAACACCATCCACAAAATTCGTCTGTCCTGCTCCTGGTAAATTTGCCGATCCCTTCGACTGCACCAAGTTCCACTTGTGCTTCAACGCAGCTTTTGAAATAATCGATATGCCGATGAATTGTACTGATGGCACGCAATACGATGCCAATAGAGAAGAGTGTACAGAGGATCCTGTGCAATGTCCGAACGAGGTTCAATTGCAATGTAACTCTGAAGGAACGTTCAAACACCCAGAGGATTGCAATAGGTACTTCAAATGCTCTTGGAACGAAATTTATGGTAAATATTTCATCCATCAAAGTAGATGCGGAGCAAACCAGGAATACTCCGAATCGCAGGGAAAATGCGTTAAATCGGCAACTTGCATTACACCGGTAAAACCGTTTGTGTGTCCCAAGGCAGGTTTGTTCCCGGTTGAAGGAAATTGCCAAAATTACTGGAAATGTGCGGAAACTTCCGGAGAAATGACGCAGACCGAGGTCATATGTAAAAAGGGAACAGTGTACGATAGAGATCTGAAGAAATGCAGAAGGGAAAGACTTGTTAAAAACTGTCCGGATGCTTAAATTAAGCTATAATATATTAAAAAAACGAATGTAAATATGTATAAATAAACGCTATAATAAAAATAAAATCAAATTATATAACTTGTGTTTTGTTTGCGTATTAAATTGTTTCATAGTTATAAAAAAAGATTATAAATTTTATCGTTATACATTTTTTACCTTGAAAACAATTTTTTGAAACTCCAAAAACACGTAAACTTTAATTTGTGTTTCTTACAGAGGGACTTGCAAGCCTCAAATGAGGCCTTAAAGTGTCAAGCACGACCATTTTACTCCTCTTTTGTAAAAAATAAACCTTATTCTATGGGCTGCCATCAAACTCTGTAAGAAACACAACGTTTAAAACCATTATTAATCTGTATAAACATGAAAATGAAACGATTTAGTTATTGACTTTTATTTACAATTAAAATCACTTAGATAAAATACATACCTGGGTCGTTTGAATTCCAATAACTTTGTTAAAAATTATCGGATCTTATTGATTTAAAAACCAAGTGAAAGCCCAACAAGCCCTTAGTAAACTCTTTCAGAAAATTTTTGTTTAGTTATTTCAGAATATTTTTTTTTTAATTTTGAAACTTGTGAAACACACATTTTCGCATGTTCCATTAGCGTTTTATAAAACTTACATACATGTTTTTTTTTTTAATATTGAATAACCAGAACTTTGTGTTGCTTTATAGCAATCCATAACATCCTTAGTTAATACAGTAAACAATTTATATATAAAATAATTAATTTTAATCTACTTTTTTTAAATTTGACTCATGTCCCAGACATTTTTTCCGTTGCGTTACCGATAGAATATTAAAAAAAAACATATATATGGCAACTTTTTTGGTACTCACGTGATCAACAAATGATGTTCGAACTTGCACATTACCCAGCTGAATTTATTTATTCAATCAGGAAGAAGATATCGGTTGAAACAGGTGCGGGTAACGCGAATGTAATAATTGTTTGTCCGCTAATTTACTCAAAAAAATAATAAAAATAAGGTAAGAAAAAATACTATTTTTCATGATTATGTTTATTTTAGGGCACTAAAGCTCATTGAGAGTAATTAATTACTATAATGTCTTATTTTTTAAATATGGTTTTACAAAACTTTGTCCACTGCGTTACCGAGTCCACTATGTTACCTTATGGTAACGCAAAGGAATTTAGGGTAACGCAATAGAATTTTTCGACAACAAAGTGGATATTTACCGTCGCTTTTATTAAAAGTAGTTTATGATTAACCAATTTAAAATTATTTGTAATTACAACTCATGGTATAGATTACATCCAAGGAAAAATGCCACGCAATATAAAAGTACTAAAAGGGACCTTCACCAGCTTATAGTCAAAGAAAAAGGGTGTCTACAATTTAGAAATCTAAGTTGTTATTCTGCAAGTGGGCACCACTACAAGGGATTTTGTTTATGCATTACTCTAAAATCGTACCACCCTTTATAGTTTCTTTTTTACGTTATCTGATTAAGTCCTTTGTGTACCCCTGTCCGTTGTGATACCAATGTCTATATCGTTACTTTTTTTAGTTTTTGTTAAAAACAATACTTAAAATGATTTTTATACACTATCTCTTGGTAATACGTGTTTATAAATTAGAGTTTAATTCACTAATACAGTGACTAAAAGAAAATATTTATGGAATTGTTTTTTTAACAAAGAATCGGAATGGTTTCTTTTAAAAAGTAACTTAACGAACATACATATTTAAAAAAAAGCATACAATTTTTAATAAAAAATAAAATAAAAAATTGGAGTCAAAAGTTTGTGAACTAAGTACATTTTATTTCAAATTATTTTTATAACAACTTTTTTTTATTGAATTAAATTTTGGATTTCAAATTGGCAACACAGTGCAGATATAAATATAAAGCTAGCTAAACACATTTTTCTGAAAAAAACGTGAAAAAAATTAAAAAGTGCACTGCCTGTCTTAAATGCAAGTAAACAAAACTCTAAACATTTATAAAAATCCAACCAAAAGTCAATTTAAGCAAAAAAAATATTTTGATCTTCATTTTCCTGAAAGCGGGGGTTTCTTGAAAATGACCCAGACCTACACTAACGTAACTATATAAGCATATAAGTAGGGAATCCAATCCAGCAGCTGGATTTATAAAATTTTTAAGGAAGATTTTTTATAAATTTTTTAAAGAAAATTTGAAAAAATTTTAAATAATTTTTTTTATTACTTAAAATACTTTTATTATTTATTTTTTAAATAAAATTTTAATTTAATTGATTTAATTTATTGGTATTCATAACTAAAATTTTTCATTAATATATTTTTAATTTAAAACATATTAATTTTACTAATTTTCATGTTTTGTTAATTTTTAAACTATCTGTATAATATATTTTTTTGATAAATTAGTTAAAAAACTGATTATCTGTAAACCTAAATAAAAAAATAAATAATATTTTTTTACAGGACTTAAAAATTAGTATGAAGAAAAATTATTGCACTATTTTGTATATTTCGATTTTTAATACCTTTTATTTCTTTTAATCCCTGTAATATGAATGATACCTACTGGACAATTCAATATTTTTAGAACATTAAACTGATTTCCACTTTAAAAGCTTGAACAAAATTAATGTAAAGATAATAAGATAATTATCTTAATTATTTTTTATAATGATTATTTTTACAAGTTTTGTCTTTTTTTTTGTTTCCAATGTAACTAATGTAATGTTATGTTTATAAATAAATTAAAATTAAAATTCAGTCAAATTACTTACAATTCTTACAACTACAACAAAATTTGATATTTTTAAAAAACAATGGTCTGTTACAAGGCATACTATGTCAGTTTTTAAGAATAAATTTTTAAGAATTCATATTAGCGATTTTTTTAAACAAAATCTAATCACGGCACTGGATTCACCACCCCTCAAAACGACCCTATACTAAATTTTATTGAAAAATTTTAGGTAGAAAAATGCACAATAATAACTACAAAAATTTATTCTGTCAAGTTATCCATGAAAAAACATTGAAATAAAATTAAACTTATAGTACCATAAAAACTGACATGGTAGGCCTTGTATTTTGTAAAAATATGGCGTTTTTTGCTTATAAAATGGATTAATTATTTTTGCTAGTCATACATTGCAATAATAAAAATAAAAACCTGCCAATAAAGATGATGAAAAATTCCACATTAAAATTTACACAGGCTATATACGTGTAGGTACTTTGTAGGCGAATCGTAAACGCAAATTTTAAATTAGTATTAATTTCATTAAACAAATATAAATAATCCTAGTGTTCGGATTAAAATTTATAAGTTCACTTCAAATCTCTTTGTTTTCCTTAAATTTATTGCAGCTTATATAGATAAACCTAATCCGATTTACGATTATAGTCATTTAAAAAAAATAACTTGGCAATATTTTTGCATAAAATCGAGCATTACCAAAAAATTATTAGCGTTTAGTAGATCGAAGATTAAAAGGTGTCAATGGTTAGAAAATAATGTTTCATCAATTTTGTTTGTTATTTTTGTTGGTGAGTACATTTTCAACATTCAAATAAGATTCATTAAAAAATTTGCTTCCCCAAAAAAATTCTTCAACACATCGTTTTTGCTATGCGAAAATTCTCTGAAAACGTTTTGGATGACTTCCGCACTAATAAAACAAATTTGTTTTTTCAAGTCTTCTAAACTTGTTGAAACCAAATGGTAGATCGGGACCTCTATTTTCATTGGAAAACATTTCTGCTAATGTGGGAAGAAGGGCAAAAAATTACAAATACGTTTCACAGATAGCACACAACGTCTGGAAGATGTCTTTTGTATGTCTATATTATGCCTGAACGTCTGAAGATCTAAAGAAGACGTCTGAAAGACGTTTTAAAGATATCTTCATTTAATGTTCGAAAGATATCTTTATTTTTATTTTTTAATTTTTTGATAAAATACTGAAATTTGACAAGTCAAAATCGAAATTATATCCCATAATCAGCCACTTCATAGTAAGATATAATTGGGTACCATATTATTTTGGTGTAATAGAAACAACATTAATGTAGGATTTTGAGTTTTTACAACGATGATGGGTAGGGTAACTGAATAAATATATATCTGACATTTTTGTAGATTGGTTATTTTTCCTAAAATTAATAATATCCATTTGTAATAAAAACATTACAAACAAATATATATTTTAAAAATTAAGTATTAAGACAAAATAACATTAAAATAACCCAGCGAAAGTTTTTAAATCAAATTACCCGCACATTTCCCATAATGCAATAAAATCATCAAATATGATATGTCTGCCTCCTTTTAATTCTTAAATAACTCTTAACTAAATACAGATTACAGACATCCGACGCCATTTTTGCTTCTTTTACGTTGAATTTGGTTGAATGCTTTTACTAATCGTGGCGATTTATCTTTTTTATGTTCCCGTTCGACGTTCAACAACTCAAGTGACAAGTCAAAGCAGTGTGCAGTGTTGGTTTTCGATTTTTTTGTGAGTTTGGTTTCGTTTGTGGTGTTTTCCGAAAAAATATTTGATAGCCCGAGAGATACCCTGGTCTCTGACCCTGATACCCACCTATAATACACTCAAGAAGGGCTTTAAACAGAAGGGTTCTACTTGACAAGAAGTAGGCAGAAATAAATATGTAACAATTCAATTTTTTTAATTTTAAATAGAAGTATACGTTATTTTTAGAAGTTTAAAAGCATTATTAGCTACATTTTAATTACTTAATACCTTAAAAACGTTTTGGAGATGTAGAAATGCATAACCAAGACATTTTCAATAGGTAGTCTTTAACATCTTAAAGACGTCTTAACGACGTTTAGCAACGACTTAATAATACCCTTAAAAGGACATCTTAAGGACGGTGTGTTTTGTAACATTAGATATCTTAAAGACGTCTTAAAGATGACTTACGTCGTAAACGACATCTTTAAGATATCTTTAAGATGTCTCTGTACTATCTAGCACTGTGAGGATCTTCTTCCACATGTAACAAAATGTCAATTTTAGTGTCTTCACTAATACTCGGACGGCCAATACTTACTTTCTTTGTAATCTACACAACCAAATCGACCGTCCAACCATTGAAAACTCATTTTTGTTTCAGGCCACAATACACCTGACCTTCGTAGGCTCAACCTGTGAAATCCCGGAAGTCCCAGTAAACTTTAAATGCGCAAAATCTGGAAGATTTTCAAATCCAAATGATATTACATGCGCATCGTACTACATTTGCAGCCTAAGGTCTGGAAAATACATAACAACGCCTTACAGCTGCCCCAAAGGATCTCTTTTTGACCCTAAACTCCTAGCCTGTAGTAAAAACTACGCCTGCACGTGTCAAAAGGCATCTACAAGTACTAGTACTACAACTACAACTACAACGCCTCGTATAAGTACTACCAAATCGGCCCCAGCATGTGAAGTACCCAAAAACCCAGTAAAACAAGAATGTAACACCAAGGGACGTTTTCAAGACCTTAACGACCCTTATTGTACATCATATTATCTTTGTTCAGCGTTAAAAAATGGTTCCTACATTAGAACACCTTACAATTGCCCTACTTCGTCTTTCTACGATCCAAAACTACAAGCCTGTAGCAAAAATTACCACTGCAGTTGTAGTAAAACACCAACTAAAACTACACCGGTGACTACAACATCTACTAGAACTACAACACTACCTAGTACTACAACAACCACAACAAATCCCTGTGAAGTACCTCAAGTACCAATAGACTTCAAATGTGAAGCCAAGGGGCGATTCCAAAATCCAAATGATCCATTCTGCACATCCTACTTTAGCTGCAGTCAACTTAAAAACGGAACGTACCTTAAAACACCATACAGTTGCCCATCAGGAGCATTCTTCGACCCTAGTAGTTTTATTTGCAATGTTAATTACAAATGTGCTTGTTTATTGGCAACTACAGAAATACCCAGCAGTACTACATCTGTTGAAGACAGTACAACTACAACTGAAAAAGTAACTTCAGCTACACAAAAAGATATAACTACAGAAGAAGACATCAGTACCACCACAAACCCATGCGAAGTACAAAAAGTACCGGTAAACTTTGAATGTACAATCAAAGGTCGTTTCCCAAATTTAAATGACCCCTACTGCCACTCGTACTTCCTCTGTAATCGTCTTAGAAACGGAACTTACATAAAAACACCATACAAATGTCCATCAGGGTCATTCTTTGACCCCAGCATACATATTTGCAATGTTAAATACGAATGCAGTTGTTCTTTACCAACCACAGAAGTTCCTACTAGTACTACACCTATTATAAGTACAACCGAAGAAGAAACTACCACTGAATTAAGTTCCACTACAAGTACAACTGTTTCCAGTACTACAGAAGAAGATTCCACGACTGAATTAAGTTCTACTACAACTACAACTGCGTCCAGTACAACAGAAGAATTAACTTCCACCACACAAGAAGATACAACCACAGAAGATATTAGTACAACCACAAATCCATGCGAAGTACCAAAAGTACCGATAAACTTTAAATGTACAACTAAAGGGCGTTTCCCAAACTTAAACGATCCATACTGCCATTCGTACTTCCTCTGTAATCGTCTTAGAAACGGAACTTACATACAAACCCCATACAAATGTCCATCTGGGTCATTCTTTGACCCCAGCATACATATTTGCAATGTTAAATACGAATGTGGTTGTTCTGAACCAACCACAGAAGTTCCTACTAGTACTACCCCTGTTATAAGTACAACCGAAGAAGAAACTACCACTGAATTAAGTTCCACTACAAGTACAACTGTTTCCAGTACTACAGAAGAAGATTCCACGACCGAATTAAGTTCTACTACAACTACAACTGCGTCCAGTACTACAGAAGAATTAACTTCCACCACACAAGAAGATACAACCACAGAAGATGTTAGTACAACCACAAATCCATGCGAAGTACCAAAAGTACCGATAAACTTTAAATGTACAACTAAAGGGCGTTTCCCAAACTTAAACGATCCATACTGCCATTCGTACTTCCTCTGTAACCGTCTTAGAAACGGAACTTACATACAAACACCATACAAATGTCCATCAGGGTCATTCTTTGACCCCAGCATACATATTTGTAATGTTAAATACGAATGTGGTTGTTCTGAACCAACCACAGAAGTTCCTACTAGCACTACACCTGTTATAAGTACAACCGAAGAAGAAACTACCACTGAATTAAGGTCTACTACAAGTACAACTGTTTCCAGTACTACAGAAGAAGATTCCACGACTGAATTAAGTTCTACTACAACTACAACTGCGTCCAGTACCACAGAAGAATTAACTTCCACTACACAAGAAGATACAACCGCAGAAGATATTAGTACAACCACAAATCCATGCGAAGTACCAAAAGTACCGATAAACTTTAAATGTACAACTAAAGGGCGTTTCCCAAACTTAAACGATCCATACTGCCATTCGTACTTCCTCTGTAATCGTCTTAGAAACGGAACTTACATACAAACCCCATACAAATGTCCATCTGGGTCATTCTTTGACCCCAGCATACATATTTGTAATGTTAAATACGAATGTGGTTGTTCTGAACCAACCACAAAAGTTACTACTAGTACTACACCTGTTATAAGTACTACCCAAGAAGAAACTACCACTGAATTAAGTTCCACTACAAGTACAACTGTTTCCAGTACTACAGAAGAATTAACTTCCACTACACAAGAAGATACAACCACAGAAGATATTAGTACAACCACAAATCCATGCGAAGTACCAAAAGTACCGATTAACTTTAATTGTACAGCTGAAGGTCATTTCCTAAATTTAAACGACCCATACTGCCATTCGTACTTCCTCTGTAACCGTCTTAGAAACGGAACTTACATACAAACACCATACAAATGTCCATCAGGGTCATTCTTTGACCCCAGCATACATATTTGTAATGTTAAATACGAATGTGGTTGTTCTGTACCAACCACAGAAGTTCCTACTAGTACGACACCTGTTTTAAGTACTACCGAAGAAGAAACTACCACTGAATTAAGGTCCACTACAAGTACAACTGTTTCCAGTACTACAGAAGAAGATTCCACGACTGAATTAAGTTCTACTACAACTACAACTGCGTCCAGTACTACAGAAGAATTAACTTCTACTACACAAGAAGATACAACCACAGAAGATATTAGTACAACCACAAATCCATGCGAAGTACCAAAAGTACCGATAAACTTTAAGTGTACAACTAAAGGGCGTTTCCCAAACTTAAACGATCCATACTGCCATTCGTACTTCCTCTGTAATCGTCTTAGAAACGGAACTTACATACAAACACCATACAAATGTCCATCTGGGTCATTCTTTGACCCCAGCATACATATTTGTAATGTTAAATATGAATGTGGTTGTTCTGAACCAACCACAGAAGTTCCTACTAGTACCACCCCTGTTATAAGTACAACCGAAGAAGAAACTACCACTGAATTAAGTTCCACTACAACAACAACTGTTTCCAGTACTACAGAAAAAGATTCCACGACTCAATTAAGTTCGACTATAACTACACCTGTGTCCAGTACTACAGAAGAATTAACTTCCACTACACAAGAAGATACAACCACAGAAGATGTTAGTACAACCACAAATCCATGCGAAGTACCAAAAGTACCGATAAACTTTAAATGTACAACTAAAGGGCGTTTCCCAAACTTAAACGATCCATACTGCCATTCGTACTTCCTCTGTAATCGTCTTAGAAACGGAACTTACATACAAACCCCATACAAATGTCCATCAGGGTCATTCTTTGACCCCAGCATACATATTTGCAATGTTAAATACGAATGTGGTTGTTCTGAACCAACCACAAAAGTTCCTACTAGTACTACACCTGTTATGAGTACTACAGAAGAAGAAACTACCACTGAATTAAGTTCCACTACAAGTACAACTGTTTCCAGTACTACAGAAGAAGATTCCACGACTGAATTAAGTTCTACTACAACTACACCTGCGTCCAGTACAACAGAAGAATTAACGTCCACTACACAAGAAGATACTACTACAGAAAAAGATATTAGTACCACCACAAATCCATGCGAAGTACCAAAAGTACCGATAAACTTTAAATGTACAACTAAAGGGCGTTTCCCAAACTTAAACGATCCATACTGCCATTCGTACTTCCTCTGTAATCGTCTTAGAAACGGAACTTACATACAAACCCCATACAAATGTCCATCAGGGTCATTCTTTGACCCCAGCATACATATTTGTAATGTTAAATACGAATGTGGTTGTTCTGTACCAACCACAGAAGTTCCTACTAGTACGACACCTGTTTTAAGTACTACCGAAGAAGAAACTACCACTGAATTAAGGTCCACTACAAGTACAACTGTTTCCAGTACTACAGAAGAAGATTCCACGACTGAATTAAGTTTTACTACAACTACACCTGCGTCCAGTACAACAGAAGAATTAACGTCCACTACACAAGAAGATACTACTACAGAAAAAGATATTAGTACCACCACAAATCCATGCGAAGTACCAAAAGTACCGATAAACTTTAAATGTACAACTAAAGGGCGTTTCCCAAACTTAAACGATCCATACTGCCATTCGTACTTCCTCTGTAATCGTCTTAGAAACGGAACTTACATACAAACCCCATACAAATGTCCATCTGGGTCATTCTTTGACCCCAGCATACATATTTGCAATGTTAAATACGAATGTGGTTGTTCGTTAACAACCACAGAAGTTCCTACTAGTACTACCCCTGTTATAAGTACAACCGAAGAAGAAAGTACCACTGAATTAAGTTCCACTACAAGTACAACTATTTCCAGTACTACAGAAGAAGATTTCACGACTGAATTAAGTTCTACTACAACTACACCTGTGTCTAGTACTACAGAAGAATTAACTTCCACTACAGAAGAAGATACAACCACAGAAGATATTAGTACCACCACAAATCCATGCGAAGTACCAAAAGTACCGATAAACTTTAAATGTACAACAAAAGGTCGTTTCCAAAATTTAAACGATCCATACTGCACTTCGTACTTCCTATGTAGTCAATTAAGAAATGGTACATACGAGAAAACGCCATCAAAATGTCCTAGTGGTTCATATTTCGATCCTAAAATGTTACTTTGTAGCAACAAATATGAATGTGACTGTAAAGAAGGTAGTACCATTAATACTACGAAGAACAGTGAAATAACGCCCAATGGAAAATCTGTTATTACTACAAGTACTACAAAGAAACCAAGTACTACAACCAAAAAACCATCCACTACAACTACAAAGAAACCCACCACTACTACACAGAAATCCACTCCAAGTACTACAACTAAAAAACCATCCACCACAACTACAAAGAAGCCAACCACTACTACCCGGAAACCCACTACTAAAAAACCAAGTACAACTACAAAAAAACCAACAACCACAACGAAAAAAACAACTACAACAACCAAAAAACCCTGTGTGGCACCAAAAAACCCAACTGCATTTGTGTGCACGAAATCTGGACGTTTTATAGACCCGAATAATCCATTCTGCAGTTCATATTATCTTTGTAGTTTACTGAGAGGAAGTATGGTTACTACAAAATACGATTGTCCCACTGGGTCTGTATTCGATCCCAAAAAGAAAATATGTAGTAAAAATTATGCATGCGCGTGCAAAAAATAAGTGATTTTAAAATTATTAAGGAAAAGTGATAAACTACCAATAGATTGATTTAAATTTAAATGGTGTTTTACTTACCCTATGTTATAATAAATTAGTTTACTTACCTAAGGTAAACGTCCCAATTATCGACACTGTCCCAATCATCGACATTTGTGCACTAAACATTCAAAAATAAGAATTTGATGCTTTGGACATCTATTGTCATATTAAAATAAGAAACAAGTAGGTTTTCCCTACCTTTCCTAGAAAGTTTCGGTCGGTTATGCAGAAAATATTAATTGAAAAAATATTTTAATCCCGCCATTCCGCAGTCATCTGTGAACTTGTGCAAATCCTTAAGAAAAGTGTTCCCTGTTGAAAAACCCGCATAAAAACTTATAAAAGTTCTATAATATTTAATAAGGATGTATGCGGTTTCTTAGTTTCTATAAGGTTTTGTCTAATTGCTCATAAGGGTTTTATCAGAATTCTATCAGTTTTTATAAGAAATAGTTTTATGAGCCGTGACTTATAAAACTTTTATTAGTTTTTATAAGACTTTACGAGGTACAAATTTCTATAAGAAATTCCAACTAAAATGTTGAAGTGAATTTATAAGATTTTATGTGCACAAGACTTTTATCAGTTTTAATGTGGTTCCTATTTGATAATTTTTTATGAGATTTTATGTGACTCTATGAGGGATGTAAGTTTATTGGTTTGTATAAGGCCTTAACTATTAAATGTCTATAAGAAGCTATAAGCATATATGAGAAATGAATTTTATCGGATTTTATTGTTTTTTTATATCTAACTTTTATAAGTTTTTATAAGACTTTATATGGTAGGTGCAAATGTCTATAAGGAATTCCAGCTAAAATGTTAAAGAGTACTTATAAGACTTTATGTGCACATGGCTTTTATCAATTTCAGTATGGTCCCTATTTGATCATTGTTTATGAGTGTTTATGAGACTCTATGAGGGATGTAAGTTTATTGGTTTGTATAAGGCCTTACCTATTATATGTCTATAAAAAGGTATAAGTAATTATAAGAAAATAATTTTATCGGATTTTATTGTTTTTTTACATCTAGGTATATAAGTTTTTATAAGACTTTATGTGGTACAGTACTTATAAGATTTTATGTGCACATGGCTTTTATCAGTTTCAGTATGGTCCCGATTTGATCATTGTTTATGAGTGTTTATGAGACTCTATAAGGGATGTAAGTTTATTGGTTTGTATAAGGCCTTACCTATTATATGTCTATAAGAAGCCACAAGTATTTATAAGAAATTAGTTTTATCGGTTTTTATTGGTTTTTTACATCTAACTTTTATAAAACATAATATATACCTACCCTTCATTCACTTATCCAATAAATAATAATACCCAGCTGTTACGTGTAACACCTATAAAATATTGATAACATGATGCGTATACGCGTATAATGCGTATTTACGCATTATGTTATCAATATTCTATTGGAGTTACAGTGTAACACTCTTACACGTAACAGCTGTGTACGAGTATTTATCGGATAAGTGATTATAAAGTTTTATGATTATATAGTGTCTTATTAAAACTTTTTTAATTCTCATAAAATATTATATAACATGATCGGTAAATACCTACTGATAAAGTTTAATAAGTTTTCACTAAAGCTTAAAAGTAAGACACCATATATAGTGTCTCTTAAAAACGTATACATACTCATAAAATATGTATATTATATTTAATATTATAACTACTATTCTACTGACTAGAGTTAAAAAGTAATGTCTCTTAAAAACTCATAAATACTCATAAAATATTATATAACTTGATGCGTAAATACTGATAGTTTAATAAGTTTCGACCAGAGTTGAAAAGTAATTTCTCTTAAAAACTCATAAATACTCATAAAATATTATATACCTTGATGCGTAAATACTCATAAAGTTTAATTAGTATTGACCAGAGTAAGGTTGCCTATGATAAGTAGGCATCTACTATAATATAGTAGAAATCTACTTATCATGGGCAACCATTATTGCATAATACATCTCGCTTATGTGGCACTATTCGTTAAGTATATAAGTTGACACTGGCTGCATTGCAATTTAAGATTTAGGAATACGAACCTCGGCAAATAAACGAGTCACGAATTGTGGCCTACGACAATTTAGCTTTTTCACTGAAATTCTTTGTTGGAGCCAGGAAACAGTGCCTGCTTTGCAAGGCCAAAGCCGCGAACCCCCACAATTTAGTAAATCAAAATATTACGTGAAGTAGTAAATTGAATTTACTACTTCACGTAATATTTTGATCGATTCGACGTCATCCAACAGGTCAAAACGACGTAATGGGTGACGAAATAAATACGTTAAAAGAACGTCATACTGTCAGCTGGGTAGTGTCTCTTAAAAACGTATACATACTCATAAAATATGTATATTATATTTAATATTATAACTACTATTCTACTGACTAGAGTTAAAAAGTAATGTCTCTTAAAAACTCATAAATACTCATAAAATATTATATAACTTGATGCGTAAATACTGATAGTTTAATAAGTTTTGACCAGAGTTGAAAAGTAATTTCTCTTAAAAACTCATAAATACTCATAAAATATTATATACCTTGATGCGTAAATACTCATAAAGTTTAATTAGTATTGACCAGAGTTGAAAAGTAGTTTCTCTTAAAAACCTATAGAATTTGAAAAGTTTGTATCAGAAATTGCTGTTTCATAGGCCCTATAAAATCTCATCAACTTTTATAAGTTTTTATAAGTTTTTTTTTATAAGTTTTTATGCGGGATTTTCAGCAGGGTTAAGAAACAGGTAAGTTAATTATGGCAATTTTAGTTTAAAATATTTAAGTTTCTTTATGTAGATAGTTGTATATTTATATACAGAATCTATAATGTATGGTTTTTGCCAATAATTTGGCATAGAATCAGTATAAACGTAAAATTATGTGGTGTCGATAAAAGGTACATCCATTTTTAGGCTTTGTACGATTTATCGACATAGGTGTCGATAAATGGTACTATGTAGCTTTCTCTTTTCTTATGAATATTTAAATGTCTATCAAACTTATTCTTACTCTGTCTGAAGAGTTTAAAGGAAATTATATTAAACTACCGCTGTACCAATTATCGACACCCATTTTTTCCATTGGTAACATCGTTAGAGTGGATCAAAGTCTGTGGAGTGGATGTAATTTATATGTCGATATTTGGTACCAAAAATGTCGATAACTGGTTCAACCTATTTTTTTTCAGAAAGAATGTTTTAAAATGAACATTATTGAAAATAGTGAAAAATGGGAAAAAAACATTTACAAACATGACTTAAGAAAAGTTATTTGTAAACGATTATGTTATGTTATGTTATAGTGAATTATAACGATCAATCACTATATACCAGGTAAAATTATTGACATATCATTGTAAAGAAAATTATGAGTTTGATTACCAAGTCTTACATATGGAGAAAAATGGGCTCAATTGGATATGGGATATGGCCCATATGGGACATATGGGACAAAGGGATAATATTCTTTGGTATGATAGAGAAGAGGTCCTTAAAAAATTAAGGAACAAAAAAAAACGCGGACTTTACTGCGTACTGGAGATTTGTGATTAAAATACTTTTATCGTCAAACATTTTTGTTTGCAATAAATACTGCTTATATTTTATAATAAATAAACTTTTATGATAAACTCTTTGTTATTTATTATAACCATTTAAATCGATTGCAAGTTACTTTTCCGAGTGTCGATATTACGTACGCAAGGGTGTTGATATTTGGTTCAAGACAAATTTTCCCATGTCGATAACTGGGTCAAATGGTACTTTTCAACAAATTTATTTTTTGCATATAAATTACGCATTGCTATTTAAAAAATAAACATTGCAAAGCAATAATCAATATTATAACAATCCACAGTAAAATTGTTAAACGTGTAACTTTAATATGCAAATTTTTATAACGATATGATTTAGAAAAATCTCTTAAGGTGTCGATAATTGGGACGTTTACCTTATTTAAAACTTTAGTACACTAAAAAAATGTTATTAATATACACTATAGGTTCTATAGGGTGATAATCACCCGGTGATTCATTATGATGAATACATTTCCGAAAAGTAGTTCTTCTTCTTCTTCCTTTTTTTGGCTATCCCTTTCGGGATTTAGCCTGTGTTCAAAACCAGTTAAAATAGTATCTCCATTTGAAGAGCTTGATAAATTAAAAACACAGTAGGCCGTGACAGTGCCAATTTAGTAAAAACCATATACCTATAACTATAGTTATAGGTATATGGTAAAAACAAAACGTTGTATTTTGATTAACAAATTACCTACTACTTTAACTCAAATTAAAGTATAGCTTAAAACTAAAAACGGCATAAAAAGTAAATAAGGAACAATATAAATTGTTAATTTGTTGTTATAATGGCAAAAAATAATTTAAATTAAGGTTTAAAACTGTCTTATTTTAGTGTTTCTTATGTTGGCAGTCGCAATTTGAAATGACAATCTTAAAAAGTACTAAAATAGTACTATTAAAAAACTAATGTCTTATGACATGAGTTCTTTATGCTATTTTATCTATTTTTCAAAAATTCTATAAAAAAATTAATTTTATTCCTTAAATTTAATTTGATCGAATTTTACTTTAGATAGTTGGTATCACAGTCTTTGGTTTGACAGTTAATGTCAAAATCGATTCGCCATGCCAAAATAGTTTTTTATGATTTTCATTAAAAATAAACTGCAATTAATAATTTTTAAGCTATTAACCGCTTTAGTTTAAAAGTGTTATTTACCACAGATTTTTCAAGCCCCTTACTCCATCTACATTTTCTACGTCTATGGTATATCTCTATCTATGTTATAGATTCTATGAGGTCTATGGTCGTGAATTCTGACATCTGTCAAATGACTCATTTTTAGGTTACAAAAAATAAACAACAAACAATGGATTTAACGAAAGTTCCCAACGAGAAAAAGTTAAATTTGTGCAGGACGTATTTTAAAAGTATATTTTTATTCATGTAGGTATAGGGTTTTGTGTTATATTATTGTTATTTTTAGTTGGTTTTGCCTTACTACCATTTATATGGACTGTTAATGCCATTTGGTTTTTCAATGAGGCTTTTAGGAAGCCAGAGTACGAGGAACAAAAACAAATTAAGAAATGTATGTTATTGAAATGATAAATTTTTGTAAAATTGTTTTAAAAATATTACCTTTTAGATGTGGTTTATTCAGCTATAGGAGCAATATTATGGTTTACGATACTCTTATCATGGTTAATAACATTCCAAATTAACAGAGTTACCTGGGGAGAATTTGCTGACAATTTATCGTTCATCATACCTTTAGGTTCGCCTTAATTATTGTAACATGGACGTTAAATAAATTAAGTTTTTATTACTGATATCCCAAGTCAAGACATAGAAATACTAAATTGTCCCGACCCTGTTTTATTTAAACGCACTTAATTAAGTAGAGACATTTTTTAATTTTCTTTGGGACGTATATATCCCCGCAGTATTGAAAGGGTTAATAAACAAATGAACAAAAACAAATTTAGTTTAATTTTGACAGATGTCAATTTATTCTTTATTTATATAAAAATAATAGCTGTAGGTTAGTTTGGACATCCTTGGATAAAAAAATCACAATAATTGTAAAAATATATTTATTATATCACACATATAATATAACATTGTTCCTATAACTGTTTTTAGATCAACGGAATGTATTTCTAAGATAACCTTAAAAAAATAAAAAATAAATGCTATTCTAACAAACATTAAGAACACAAACAGATTTTAGGAACATATTTTGGTAACTAAAATAAATAATTTTTTTAGACGTACACTACATTTTAACAGCACAATTTACAGGATAACAAATTTTGCTGCGAAAATTATCAGTAGAAAATCAGTTCTTTTTTACTTCAGCACCAATGATTTTTTTAAAGAAAAATAAACATTATTTCGTAAGAAAATAAACTTTTAGTAAAAAGGTTTTAAGGGGTGTCAACAAAATAAAAACGTATGTTATGTGGTTGTATTGTCAAAAAAACCTTTTTAACTATATTATATAATAAAGGGCCAAAGCAAAAATAGAAATAAACCAAAAATATAATTCTTTAAGTAAAGGAATCTCATTTTTTTTATAATAATTATAATAATATTAATAACCCATTTTTATGAACAAAATGTATATAAATAATATACAAGAACATATATTATAAACTCACTACAAAATAAATAAAGACATTATGCCACAAAGTAATAAATTAACGAAAATTCGGGACAAAACAAATATTTATTCAACTAGTTTTTGGCAGTTTGTTTCAAAAAATAATTTGGCAAAGTTTATTGATTTTATAGTTAGTTTTGTGGTTTGTAATATACGAATTTTGTGCGTGTAAATCTGTATTTTACAAAACCGTAATTTGTCATACAAAATGTACATATATTTGGTGTACACCCTGTATAATTAGTAATACTTTTTGATTATTTTCGGATATGTGAGGGTTACTTTATTAGTTTCAAAAAAAACCTGTAATACCTAAACACCCTTTACATAGTAATACTTTTTTTTATCGGAATGTAGGTTTTTATTTTAACCCTCAAATATCCAAAAAATATCGTCGCAAATTTTTTTTTTATTATTCGCGTCTATGCCCCCCTAGGGCCAAAAGCCTCCTATTGGCGATGTAGAGTTGTATTTCGTTTTTGGACAATCTCACCAGCAAAATAAGCGAAATTATTTCGGAAACTGTTAGCACGGTAAAAACCCACTCCCAACCCAGTGGGGCCAAAAAACCCGCGAAAAGGGGGCCCAACGCGGCTCCAATGGATCCAGTTCCGTCAATGATGGCCGTGACCGTTGCCATGGCTTTGGCGTTTCCATCCAAGCACTTGTGGTTGCCTAATTCGGCCGAAACGGCCGTGGTAATTAAGGCGTACGGTCCGTTTACGAGAAGGCCTAGTACCATCAGCAATAACATGTTTGTTGCCAGGCTAACGTGACTGAAAGTTTGGTAAACGAACATCTAAAAGAATAAAAAAGGTAGGCGTTGAAAATGTCCCCGTATTGCGTGCTCTAAGGTTTATCCACATTTTGTATACTCTAAGGTAACGATAACGCTTTTAGTTTTAGAAAAATTAGGATTTTTCAATGTTACAAAAAATAAACAACATTTTAGTAAACTAGGTAAAAAGTTAAAATTCAATAAGGAAATGTAAAGTATGTGTAAGGTTTATCCATATTTTGTATACTCTAAGGTAACGGTAACCCTTTTAGATAACACATTTTTGAGACAAAAAATAGGATTTTTCAATGTTACAAAAAATATTCCACATTTTAGCAAACTATGTACAAATTTAAGTATGAAAATTTTGTAAATTTTGCAAATTTTTAAAAGTTAAAAATTTAGAAAATTTTAATAATCTTGAAAATTTGAAAACTGTTGAATAATAATTTTTTCCACATTTTTTAAATTTTAAGTCGATGTGCGAATTTGCTACAATTTTTTACATTATGGCAATTCTGGAAATGTTATGAACGAATTTTCCCCACATTTTTTAAATTTTGAATCAATGTGCGAATTTGCTACAATTTTTTACAAAAAAATTTAATAATTGGTACTACTATGCGAATTTTCTCCACATTTTTTAAATTTTGAATCAATGTGCGAGTTTGCTAGAATTTTTTAATTATGAAAATTTTGTAAATTTTAAGAATTTTGCAAATTTTGCAATTTTTGAAAAATTTGTAAATTTAGAACATTTTAATATTCTCGAAAATTTAAAAATTTATTCTATATTATGTATATTGGTACTACTGTGCGAATTTTCTCCATTTTTTTTAAATTTTGAATCAATGTGCGAATTTGCTACAATTTTTAACATTATGACAATTTTGTAAATGTTGAGAATTTTGCAAATTTTGAAGAATTTGTAAATTTAGTAAATTTTGAAGAATTTGTAAATTTAGGAAAGTTTTAGTTTTGTACATTTTAGGAATCTTGGAAATTTAACATTTATATTTACACTACTGTAAGAATTGTTCCCACAATTTTTTAATTATGAAAAGTTTGTAAATTTGAGAATTTTGCAAATTTTAAAAAGTTTAAAAAATTAGAAAATTAAAAAAACTTTAAGAATCTCAAAAATTTGAAAACTGTTGAAAATGTATCCCATAATTTTTTTCACATTTTTTAAATTTTAAGTCGATGTGCGAATTTGCTACAATTTTTTACATTATGGCAATTCTGGAAATGTTATGAACGAATTTTCCCCACATTTTTTTAATTTTGAATCAATGTGCGAATTTGCTACAATTTTTACAGAAAATTTTAATAATAATTATTGGTACTACTATGCGATTTTTCTCCACATTTTTTAATTTTGAATCAATGTGCGAATTTGCTACAATTTTTTACATTAAGCTAATCTGTAAATTTTGCAAATTTGGAAGAATTTGTAAGTTTAGAAAAGTAAGTTTTGTAAATTTTAAGAATCTTGGAAATTTAAAATTTATATGAGAATTATTCCCTCATTTTTTTAATTTTAAGCCAATGTGCGAGTTTGCTGGAATTTTTTTAATTATGAAAATTTTGTAAATTTTAAGAATTTTGCAAATTTTAAAAAAATTGTACCTAAATTAAGGAAATAATTATCACCATTTCAAATTTTACAATTTTTGAAAAATTTGTAAATTTAGAAAATTTTAATAATCTCGAAAATATCAAAATGTATTCTATAATATGTATGTATATTGGTACTACTCTGCGAATTTTCCCCAAATTTTTAAAATTTTGAATCAATGTGCGAATTTGCTACAATTTTTTACATTATGACAATTCTGTAAATGTTGAAAATTTTGCAAATTTTGAAAAATTTGTAAATTTAGGAAATTTGGAAGAATTTGTAAGTTTAGGAAAGTAAGTTTTGTAAATTTTAAGAATCTTGGAAATTTAAAATTTATATGAGAATTGTTCCCTCATTTTTTAAATTTTAAGCTAATGTGCGAATTTGCTAGAATTTTTTTAATTTTGAAAATTTTGTTAATTTTAAGAATTTTGCAAATTTTAAAAAATTTGTACCTAAATTAAAGAAATAATTATGACCATTTCAAATTTTGCAATTTTTGAAAAATTTGTAAATTTAGAAAATTTTAATAATCTCGAAAATTTAAAAATGTATTCTATAATATGTATATTGGTACTACCGTGCGAATTTTCCCCAAATTTTTAAAATTTTGAATCAATGTGCGAATTTGCTACAATTTTTTACATTATGACAATTCTGTAAATGTTGAAAATTTTGAAAAATTTGTAAATTTAGGAAATTTGGAAGAATTTGTAAGTTTAGGAAAGTAAGTTTTGTAAATTTTAAGAATCTTGGAAATTTAAAATTTATATGAGAATTGTTCCCTCATTTTTTTAATTTTATGCCAATGTGCGAATTTGCTGGAAATTTTTTAATTATGAAAATTTTGTTAATTTTAAGAATTTTGCAAATTTAAAAAAATTTGTACCAAAATTAAGGAAATAATTATGACCATTTCAAATTTTGCAATTTTTGAAAAATTTGTAAATTTAGAAAATTTTAATAATCTCGAAAATTTAAAAATGTATTCTATAATATGTATATTGGTACTACCGTGCGAATTTTCCCCAAATTTTTAAAATTTTGAATCAATGTGCGAATTTGCTACAATTTTTTACATTATGACAATTCTGTAAATGTTGAAAATTTTGAAAAATTTGTAAATTTAGGAAATTTGGAAGAATTTGTAAGTTTAGGAAAGTAAGTTTTGTAAATTTTAAGAATCTTGGAAATTTAAAATTTATATGAGAATTGTTCCCTCATTTTTTTAATTTTATGCCAATGTGCGAATTTGCTGGAAATTTTTTAATTATGAAAATTTTGTTAATTTTAAGAATTTTGCAAATTTAAAAAAATTTGTACCAAAATTAAGGAAATAATTATGACCATTTCAAATTTTGCAATTTTTGAAAAATTTGTAAATTTAAAAAAATTTAATAATCTCGAAAATTTAAAAGTATATTCTATAATATGTATATTGGTACTACTGTCCGAATTTTCCCCAAATTTTTTAAATTTTGAATCAATGTGCGAATTTGCTACAATTTTTTACAATATGACAATTCTGGAAATGTTATGAACGAATTTTCCCCACATTTTTTTAATTTTGAATCAATGTGCGAATTTGCTACAATTTTTTACATTATGCTAATCTGTAAATTTTGCAAATTTGGAAGAATTTTCAAGTTTAGGAAAGTAAGTTTTTTATTATGAAAATTTTGTAAATTTTAAGAATTTTGCAAATTTTAAAAAAAATTGTACCTAAATTAAGGAAATAATTATCACCATTTCAAAATTTACAATTTTTGAAAAATTTGTAAATTTAGAAAATTTTAATAATCTCGAAAATTCAAAAATGTATTCTATAATATGTATATATTAGTACTACTGTACGAATTTTCTCCAATTTTTTTAAATTTTGAATCAATGTGCGAAATTGCTACAATTTTTTTCATCATGACAATTCTGTTAATGTTGAGAATTTTGCAAATTTTGAAGAATTCGTAAGTAAGTTTTGTAAATTTTAAGAATCTTGGAAATTTAAAATTTAAATGAGAATTGTTCCCTCATTTTTTTAATTATGAAAATTTTGCAAATTTTAAAAAATTTGTACCCAAATTAAAGAAATAACTATGACCGTTTCAAATTTTGCAATTTTTAAAAAATTTGTAAATTTAGAAAATTTTAATAATCACGAAAATTTAAAACTGTATTCAATAATATGTATATTGGTACTACTGTGCGAATTTTCTCCAAATTCTTTAAATTTTGAACCAATGTGCGAATTTGATACGGTTTTTTAATTATGAAAATTTTGTAAATTTGAGAATTTTGCAAATTTTAGGAATCTCGGAAATTAACATTTATATTTACACTACTGTAAGAATTGTTCCCACAATTTTTTAATTTTGAACCAATGTGCGAATTTGCTACAATTTTTTTAATTACGAAAATTTTGTGAATTTGAGAATTTTGCAAATTTTTAAGTTTAAAAAATTAGAAAATTAGTACATTTAGAAAACTTTAATAATTTCGAAAATTGTTGAAAAAGTATCCTAAAATATTGTATATTGGTAGTACCGAGCGAATTTTTTTAATTTTGAACCAATGTGCGAATTCGCTACAATTTTTTTAATTATGAAAACATTTCAAAAAAAATTTAAAAGTTTTTTATGGTTTCTTTAATAAAAATTTTTATTTTTAGATTTTAGTTTTTAGAAAATTAACGTATATGTAAGGTTTATCCATATTTTGTATACTTTAAGGTAACGGTAACGATTTTGATAAGACATTTTTGTGACAAAAATTACAATTTTTCAATGTTACAAAAAATAAACAAGATTTTAGCAAACTATGTAAAAATGTAAGATGCAATAAGAAAATTGAACTTACGTGTAAGGTTTATCCATATTTTGTATACTCTAAGGTAACGTTAACGCTTTTTGATACACATTATTGTGAGAAAAATTAAGAATTTTCAATGTTACAAAAAATAACTGACATTTTAGCGAACTATGTAGGAAATTTAACTTATACATAAATGTAAATGAAATTTAAGTACCTATAAGTAAAACATTTTGGAAAATTTGTCCCACCATTTTTTGTATTTATAATGCCGTGCAAATTTTTTCCACAACGCAGGTTCCAATTTACTCCGTCCGCAAGAAAGTTACACTTAAAAAAATAAAAATCGTATTACTTACCATAGGTGCGGCAAGTAACAACATGCCGGAACATGTTACGGCAGACATTCCAGTTTTATCGCTGATTACTCCGGCTATAATTGCGCCCGCAATTCCGCCCACGTCGAACAGCGTGGAAATATCGGCGCTGACTCTGGCGCTCATTTTTGCTAAAAAAATAAATACAAGAAATACACTCACGTGCAAAATAATCGATCCAAACAAATTTTCGATGAATTTCAATCGCAAATAACTTTTTTATTTGATGTCGGATTTAAACGAATATTAAAGAATATTGAAGATACATTAATGGACAATCGCTCACATTTTAAAAAAATACTAAAAAATAGACGTACGTTTATAATATACAGGTTTAAACAAAAATATGTTTTTTACCATAAGTTTAAGACACTCTGTAGAGTGGCAAAACCGTATATTGTTCTAAATTAAGTTTTATTTATCAAGTCACATCTATTCTTGACAGTTTAGTTTTTGGTTCACCTCGATATATTTATTTTTGTGGAAAATGTGGATTTTTTAAAAAAACATTGCAATTTCCAATATTTTTCTGTATGAAGAACTAAGGTTGCTATGGTCCATCCATAGGCTATGGAGAATGACAGTGTCAGTTTTGTTGAATCATCCCATACTTGGACATGTCATACACGGCTTTCAAAAGCTATCAAATTGTTTTTTGCAAATTAATGTTTAAATTTTGAGGTGTCTTCTTACTTTAAAAAATGGATATGTCTCCGACTGATGTTGCCAGAGCTATTAATTTAATCCAGGATGGACGGTCACAGTATTACGTGGCAAGTGTTTTAAACGTCACAAGAAGTAAAGTACAAAGGGCAATATCAGTAGGAGACATTTATAAAAGTAAGAAGACACCTCAAAATTAACACATTAATTTACAAAAAACAATTTGATAGCTTTTGAAAGCTGTATTAGACCAGGGTTGATAATTTTTGAAATCAAAAAAAATAACAGTAGGATGAAACCCATTGGAAAAGGAGAAGAATATAATAAAAATGAAAGGAAAAATAAATTACGGGCGATCTGACTTCGGGAAGTGGGAGGGTTTAAGGGTAAAAAATGGTTTATCTCGATTTCCGGCAAAACTACAAGTCCTATGGAAAAAAGTTAAATGGCAAAGTTGTAGGTAATAAAAGGATCTACAACTTTTGTAATTACAATTTTTTTAATTAACCTCAAAATTTATGTGAAAAATTCAAAAAACCAAGTTTTTGGTTTTTTATTTTTATCTTTTTCAAAAAAAAAAATTTGTCCACGAAATTTGGTGAAAACTTACCTTTTTATATCCCAAATACACTGTAATTTATTTGATTTGAAATATTTATTATTTCGCCTTATTTTGACTTAATATCAAAAAGGCACCCTAATTTTCAATCGAAAATTCTCGCGTCAAAATATCAGCTTTTTTCAAAAAGTCGGTGTGCTTTTTGTTCGTTGAAATCTCTACTTTCTGATGGTGTAAAAATATACATTACTATGGTAAATGTTCTCAGAAAATGCAAAAAATATTATAATGAATAACGAAAAAAACTCGAATTCGAAAATTTATTTTAATCATTATGTACAATTTCATCAAAAAAATGTGATTGTTGCAATTTTTTTAGTTAAAAAGTTTATTTATTAAATTCTAATAACATTTATGCCAGAAAATCTCATAAAATATAAAAATAAATGTAAATCATACTATTGAATTTAGATACTTCATTCTGATTACGTTATTCATTATAATATTTTTTGTATTTTCTGAGAACATTTACCATAGTAATGTATATTTTTTTTACACCATCAGAAAGTAGAGAGTTCATCGAACAAAAAGCCGACTTTTTGAAAAAAGCTGATATTTTGACGCGAGAATTTTCGATTGAAAATTAGGGTGCTTTTTTGATATTAAGTCAAAATAAGGCGAAATAATAAATATTTCAAATCAAATAAATTACAGTGTATTTGGGACATAAAAAGGTAACTTTTCACCAAATTTCGTGACAAAAAATTTTTTTTTGAAAAAGATAAAAATAAAAAACCAATTACTTGGTTTTTTGAATTTTTCTCATAAATTTTGAGGTTATGTGAAAAAATTGTAAATACAAAAAATGTAGATCTTTTTATTACCTACAACTTTGACATTTAACTTTTTTCCATAGGACTTGTAGTTTTGCCGGAAATCGAGATAAACCATTTTTTACCCTTAAACCCCCCCTACCACTTCCCGAACTCAGATCGCCCGTATTTTATTTTTCCTTTAATTTTTATTATAGTCCCCTCCTTTTCCAATGGGTTTCATCCTACTGTTATTTTTTTTTTCTTTTTACCATTTTTAAAGGCTTCTGCACTGGTCTAATGTCCAAGTATGGGATGATTCAACAAAACTGTCACTGTCATTCTCCATTGCCTATGGATGGACCTTAGTTCTTCATACAGGAAAAATATTGGAAATTGCAATGTTTTTAAAAAAAAAATCCATATTTTCCAGAAAAATAAATATATCAAGGTGAACCAAAAACAAATCTGTTAAGAATAGATGTGACTTGATAAATAAAACTTAATTTAGAACAATATACGGTTTTGCCACTCTACAGAGTTATTTGCGATTGAAATTCATCGAAAATATCAAGTGAGTATATTTCAAAAAATCGCAATTCGATACTCGAAAAAGTTCTCGAAGATTTTAACGCCACTGTAACTGTGGAATTTTACGGAGACTTGTGCGAGTAGGCAACACAAGTTGCACGAATTCAGCGCCATCTATCGGCAAAATCGGCGAGAACTTTTTCGAGAGTTCGGTACACCGAAAGGACTTACTGGAATTTAAGTACGAAGGCAACCAGTACAGGAAAGTGTAACTGACGAGTTTCGAGAAAAATAGCGACAGAGAAAACTCGATGACGCCGGGAATTTTACATGCGCCGAAAAAGCCTATAGCGTTGTTGCCGTTTCCTTCGCCCCTCGGCAACAGGGGAGAACCTTCATTCGACTGTCGTCTTTGCACATCCTATAAAAACATGTTTTGTTTTTTTATATAAATTTAATAATGCAGTGAGTTAAACTTTTTAATGACATTTTATCGTATACACAACAAGGTCTGTTCCATGGTACAAGAAAACAAGGTATGTTCTTGCGCATCTGTTTCCACCACAAGGAATATTATTTATTTAAAATTTATTTATGCCGTTGTTTTAAAGATTTTAATTTTTTTCTTATGAATATATAAAAGGATAGTTTGTTTAAACTTTATTTACGCTTACTCAAAAATAAGAATATTTGAATTTTTAATAATAGTTTTATAAAAACATGCACATTCAATTATTACATAAACATAACAACTTTACATCAAATAATATAAATTGTTAAATATTTTTTAAAAGGTAAATTGCTGTTTTAGGTAATTTTTTTTATTTCGTTTATGTATATATTTCTTTCTCGGATTCCTCATCCCTTTTCTGGATTCTGACTTCTGAAATATTTTGTTGCAAATATCATTAAGTGTGGTATCTCTAGTTTAAGAAGCATTTATAATGTTTAGGCCGGAACAGGATGATTTATATATATCTAATATTTTTTCGGGTGGTATGTTAAAAGTATTTTTCTAATTTAGTAATTTTGTTGCCATTAGTTTTTTATGTTCTCTATCATGCACTGTTATTCTGCAAGATGTCCTGTGACGAAGAAATCACTATATTACTTACTCTCTAAAAATGAATTAGTCAAAAATGTCATAGCGAAAAAGCAGCCACTAATAATTCTCGTCGACAGCAATTTGTATACAGGACATTTAGCAGTCAATTCCTATGAAATATTATTCGAAGAATCCAAAAATGTCGTCAAGTTATAAAATTAGAACAGTTATTGAAATATAATCAATTTTACATATAATATGGATTTGACTATATCTCAAAAACTGCTTAACTTTTATAGTTTTTGACGGTGTTTTCGGATTCAGGGGACAATTTTACATAAGAATTGGCAGGTAAATGTCCGGGATATAAATAGAGTATGATATTGGACATATGTCCAATAATAGAAATTTACATTTTTTGCCAACCAGTAATTGTACACTGGCCATTTTACCGTTTGTTTTCAGAATAAAAATTAAAACGCATTAAAGTTACAATGTGTAAACCATGAGGAACACATTTATACCACACTGATCTGTACACTTTTTAGAAATATTTTTTGTTGTAACTTAAACACAGCCCTGCTCTTAACAAAAAAAAACAAAAATCTCACCACCAAAGTAACGTGCGAACTTTTTTGTCCTATATTGGACCCAAAATAAAGTAGTTCTATATTATTACCGACTGAGATATTTATAGTTGTATACAGCGTCATCTAATGATTTGACTTTAAGGTAACTATTTATATAACTCTTGTTTTTACAGTTTTAATGTTAATTGTCCAATAACTGTCTACTTTACCCTAAATAGATTTATTTTAAAAACAATTAAATAGCAGTAGTTTTTTAGAGGTACTTTCGTTTTGTATACACAGATCATCTGTGACAGATAAATAAAGAAAAAAATAATTTAACATTTTGTAGCTTGTATTTGTTTCATGTACTTCGGACAAAACAAAAATAAATCTTTCTTTTTGCTCTGTGCAGGAAATGTGCCAAGACGATCTTCAAGGACCGTACCTGACAGAAACTCAAACTGCAGCATTAGAAAACCAGCTTGTACCATACCATAATATAATATTTTTCACAAGTTTAGTTTGTTTTATTCAATGTTGGCTCCATGGTGTAGGGTTTTTATTTGACAACTTAACCTAAATTGCAATTATTTGTAAATACAATTTTGTAATGTATAAATTTGGAAAAAATATGTTGCTAACATTTTTCTTGCAATGTTAATTTTGAAACTTAACACTTTTCATTTCTTTCTTTATATTTGCTTTAAAACACGATATTTTATTTTATTGAAAACCCATTATTTAAAACATTTAACCAAAAACTAAAATTAAATTTATCTTAGCACTTTTTTCATACATTTTAGTAAATAATATTTACTTTAAAACAATATATTTTATTTGATTGAAAAACCATATAAAATAGTTTTTTCATTAGTAACATTTTCTTGAAATGTTAATATTGTTACTTAAATCGTTTTATACGTGCGATCTTCAAATTATTCGACAATTTAATCTAAAAATTGAATAATTTCATAGAAATTTGTATGAATTTCATAAGAGAATAATATTTAAATTTAAAATATCTTTTAAATTCTAAGGCGGGAACGAACTAAGATGGCCGTAACTGAGTGAACCAAAATTCGTCCTACTGAAGAACATACCTTGTTTTCTTGTGCAGTGGGTTGCATAACTTCGTACATTTAAGTATTCCCTAAATGAGATGGAACAGACAAGTGTCTGTTGATTGTGATATGTAGATAATTTTCATTATTGTACACCAGTGCACAATATTTTTTTATATACAGGGTGTTATGTAATTAATGTAATATATTAAAATACTGAATACCTTTTGACATAAGGTGTAACGAAAAAATATTTTCCCAAATATAAAGAAAAAATATGCATTAAAAGTTTTTTATAATTTTTGTGATACGCCACTGGTTACACACTTGTGTTCTGCGAGTACATAGATACCAACCGACAAAGTAGCTGCGCGTTGCCAGTCGTAAAAAATTGTTACTAAAAATTTTTCTTGCAAAAAATAAATAAAAACTCAATAAATACAAAAGTTTGATGCCCTTAAAGCTCTAATACCCTTCTGTATTTATTTACTCTTCCAGCTATTAGCTTAAGCAATGATTGGAAAATTTAGCACCTATTTTAAAAACTCCACAACCACAAAATTAATTTTTTTATCGGTTTTTTTCTTTATGTTATCAATTTGGGTAAATAAACCCTTAGTTAAAATATTTACAATTTGGGCCCATAACCTAAAATTTGAAAGAAATGCACCAGATTCTGTCACAAAAGTTGCCAGATTTTGTTTGAATTTACCTTAATTACAAAAATGACATAATAAACAATTAATAAAAACGCCAAATTAACAATTTTCATTGTTGATTTTGTCATTTTGTAATTAGGCTAAATTTAAACACAATCTGGCAACGTTTTTTTGACAGAATCTTGAAACGCTGCTTGTTACCAACCATAACATAATAAGGTTATTATAAATTATTTTTAGTTTTTAAAATTTAGAAAAAAAGTTTCAGGTGCTTTAATATTACATTAATTACATAACACCCTGTATATAAAAATTTTAAAAAAGACAGAAAGGGTGATATCTAAATTTTAATTATAATTAAATGTTAAATTAATGTTAACAAAGCAAAGTAAAGCAAACAACAAACTAAGCAAAGCTTATCTAATTAAACTATTAAATATAATAAATAAAATCCCAACTTGCGTAAATATAATTACGTAGATAAGTGTATATTAAAGAATTCCTTATTTAAATATTTACCATTTGATATACATTTTATCGGTTTTCCTATATCTTTGAATAAATTCGGTACATTAAAAAAACAGTACAAATCTCAAGGCTTTGTCAAATATTAAGTAATATATTTTTAGAAAAATAATCTAATTTTAATGTGTAGGTACTGTTTAAAAAAAATTAACTATGCGTTAAACGCGACAAACAATTTTTACAATGTGCAGTTTTGAAAAAGCAAAAACCCGTTATAATATTTTTTCCTAATATTTAATGCACTTACTATGATGTAACTATTCGAATTTTTAACCCTAGATTTGGCATCCTAAAAGTTTTGAATAAAAAGAAAAAAATGTTAATGGCCAAAAAAGTATTAGTGCACTTTTTAATTACAAAAATAATCAAAATCGCAAACATTATTTTTTATATAGGGTGTCTTGAAAACAATGAGAAATGTTTATATACTTATACAAGTTGTAGCTCAGTATTTCCAATCGCCCTGTATATATTTTATGTTGTAACAAAAATAAAAAAAAATTACTTACACATTCTCTGACATACATCTGAGAATCAGACATTCCAGATGAATATTCATCATTGAGAACATAGGGGCTCTAAAAAATTATGTGTTTTGATAAATAATATACAAGGTGTTCCTGAAATGCTAGTGCAAAATAATACCTGAGATATATAACTAAATTTGCGGGTGTCAAAGTAGAAAAACGGTTTTTCTTTGAAAATATTAAGAAAAAAACATAAACCTTGGGAAATTTCAGTAAATCCCCGAAAAAAATTAAACCAACTAAAAATATTTCTTCTTTATGGTTTCTTTACTAAAAATTTTGAAAAATTGAATTTGTAAACTTCGGAATTTTGCCAATTTTTAAAAAAATAAAAAAAATTTAATTCATAAAATTTTAGGAATCTCGAAAATTTGAAAAATGTATCATAAAATTTTGTATATTGGTACTACTGTGCGAATTTTCCCCACATTTTTTTATTTTCGAATATTGCAAATTTGAAGAATTTGTAAATTTAGGAAATTTTGAAGAATTTGTAAATTTAGAAAAGTTTTAGTATTGTAAATTTTAAGACTCTCGGAAATTTAAAATTTATATTTAAACTACAGTGAGAATTCTTCCCACATTTTTTTGATTATGAAAATTTTGGAAATTTTGATAATTTTTCAAATTTTAAATTAAGGAAATAATTATGGACATTTTGGAATTTTGCAATTTTTGAAAAGTTTAAAAAATTTTGAGAATCTCAAAAATTTGAAAATGTTTGATAATGTATCCTAAAATTTTGTTTATTGGAACTACTATGCGAATTTTCCAACATTTTTCTAATATTAAATCAATGTGCAAATTTGCTACATTTTTTTACATTATAACAATTCTGGAAATTTTGAGAATTTTGCAAATTTTCAAATTTTGAAGAATTTGTTGATTTTTAAGAATTTGTAAATTTAAGTTTGAGTTTTGTAAATTGTAAGAATCTCGGAAATTTAAAATAAATAATATACTATACTGAGAATAGTTCTCACAATTTTTTAATTTTAGACCAATGTGCGAATTTGACAAAAAATTTTTGATTATGAAAATTTTGAAGTTTTTAAAAGTTTAATTTTAGACCAATGTGTGAATTTGATAAAAAAAAATTTATCATGAAAATGTTGTAAATTTTGAGAATTTTGCAATTTTAAAAAATTTGTAATTTATTAAAATTATAGAATTTTGCAAATTAATAAAAGTTAAAAAAACTCGTAAATTTAGAAACTTTTAATAATCTCGAAAATTTGAAAATTGTTGAAAATGTATCCTATAATATTTAAAATTAAAAAATGTAGCAAAAATATACATTTTTGCCACATTTTTTAAATTTTAAATCGATGTGCGAATTTGCTACAATTTTTTGAATTATGACAATTCTGGAAATGTTGAGAACTAATTTTCTCCACATTTTTTAAATTTTGAATCAATGTGCGAATTTGCTACAATTTTTTACATTACTACAATTCTGGAAATTTTTCAAATTTTAAAGAATTTGTAAATTTAGGAAATGAAGTTTTGACAATTTTAAGAATTTTGGAAATTTAAAATTTATATGAGAATTGTCCCCACATTTTTTTAATTTTAAATCAATGTGCGAATTTGCTAGAATTTTTTTAATTATGAAAATTTTGTAAATTTTAATAATCTCAAAGTTTTGTAAATTTTAGGAATCTCGGAAATTTAACATTTAAATTTACACTACTGTAAGAATTGTTCCCACAATTTTTTAATTTTGAACCAATGTGCGAATTTGCTACAATTTTTATAATTATGAAAATTTTGTAAATTTGAGAATTTTGCAAATTTAAAAAAATTGCAAATTAAGGAAATAATTGCAAATTAAGGAAATAATTATGGAAATTTTTGAATTTTGCAAATTTTGAAAAAAATTAGAAAATTAGTAAATTTTGAAAATTTTAAAAATATCGAAAATTTGAAATTTTTTGAAAAAGTATCCCAAAATTTTGTATATTGGTAGTACTGTGCGAATTTTCCCCACATCTTTTTAAATTTGAACCAATGTGCGAATTTTCTACAATTGTTTTAATTACGAAAATTTTGTAAATTTGAGAATTTTGCAAATTTAAAAAAAAATTGTAAAATATGGAAATATTGGAATTTTGCAAAATTTTAAAAAGTTTAAATAATGAGAAAATTAGTAAATTAAGAAAATTTTAAGAATTTTACAATTGTTGAAAAAGTATCCTAAAATTTTGTATATTGGTAGTACTGTGCGAATTTTTCCCACATTTTTAAAATTTTGAATCAATGTGCGAATTTGCTAAATTTTTTAACAATTTTGGAAATTTTGAGTTTAGTAAACTTTAAGAATCTCAGAAATTAAAAATTTATATTTATACCACAATTTTTAAATTTTGAACCAATGTGCGAATTCGCTACAATTTTTTTAATTATGAAAATGTTAAAAAAATTTAAAAATTTGTAAATTTAGTAAATTTAAAGTAAAATTTCAAAAAAAATTAATAGTTTTCATAAAAATGTTTGTTAATGTTCTTAAAAGTATTTAAATCGTTAAAAAACAAGTAAAATGGTTTGAACTGCCAAAAAAATTGGTTATGTTTGTATTTTTACTTTTGCATATACTTCGTCCGTAAGTTTTGACACGACTGTTACTCCACAGTATCGTAAACGCTGCAGCGTTCTCAAAACTTGTTTGAGAAACGTAGAAAAAAAATTGTAATTTGTAGAAGAAAAGAAACGATTTGGGGCATAAAAATTACTTACCGCAAAAGTGGCTTCGGCTGCTAGCCTCTGCTGCTCGGACATCAGCCCCACGTCCGTCGGATTCACAACCAAAAACAAAAACAGTATGAACCCGACCACCCCAATAACCAAACCTGGGATTATGAACGAATAAGCCCAGTCGGTTTCGACGTAAGCTCCGGCAATCCAAGAGCCTAAAAAACGATAAAATGGTAGTAGGCACTTCTTAAATACACTCCTTAAATACACAAATTTTCGATGAATTTCAATCGCAAATAACTTTTTTATTTGTTTTCGGATTTAAACAAATATTAAAGAATATTGTAGATGCATTAATGGAGAATCGCTCACATTTTAAAAATTACTAAAAAATACACGTACGTTTAAAATATACAGGTTTAAACAAAAAGATGTTTTTAACCATAAGTTCAGAACACTCTGTAGAGTGGCAAAACAGTATATTGTTCTAAATTAAGTTTTTTATTTATCAAGTCACATCTATTCTTAACAGTTTTGTTTTTGGTTCACCTCGATATATTTATTTTTGTGGAAAATATGGATTTTTTTAAAAAACATTGCAATTTCCAATATTTTTCCTGTATGAAGAACTAAGGTTAAGAATGACAGTGACAGTTTTGTTGAATCATCCCATACTTGGACATGTCATATACAGCTTTCAAAAGCTATCAAATTGTTTTTTGTAAATTAATGTGTTGCACTTACCCAGCATATTCCCAATGCTTGTATGGGAGTTCCATAGTCCAAAGATGAGTCCCCTCTTACTTTTTCCGAACCAGTTGCTCATAACAGTGACAACTCCCGGCCACCCTGTAGTCTGGAAAATCCCTGCTAAAGCCTAAAAAATCACCAACATTTCAAACCAAAGTCTCCCTTTAGAAAATAATTGTTAAATCCACAAAAAGAGCAACTTTAGAATGGGGTGGAGCGACATCTCTAGAAAAATAGAGTAACCGCTTGAAATTGACTCAAAACTTTTACATATAAGCAGTTTTTTTATAGAAAAATTCTACTTCCGCAACTTGAAAAAATGGTTACGAGAAAAAAGCGTTAAAAGTTTTTAGTTAAGGTTCTTTAAATATGTGGCTCTACGTAGTCTCAAGAATCTCGGAAATTTAAAAAAAAATAAAAATGTATTCTACATATTTTTACTAATGTGCGACTTTTTCCCACAATTTTTTAATTTTGAACCAATGTGCGAATTTCCTAAAATTTTTAATTATGAAAACTTGGGCATTTTGAGAATTTTGCCAATTTTGAAAATTTTAAAAAGAAAATTTATCTTACAATTGTGGTGTATGCAAATTTTTAATTTTTTAAAAAATAAAAGTAAATTTAGAAAATAAGTAAATTTAGAAAATTGTAAGAATCTCGAAAATTTGAAAAATTGCTAAAATTTTGTATATTGGTACTACTGTGAGAATTGTTCCCGCAATGTTTTTATTTTAAAGCAATGTGTGAATTTGCTACAATTTTTTTTAATTACAACAATTCTAGACATGTTGAAAATTTTGAAGAATTTGTAAATTAAAGAAATTTTAAAGAGTTTGTAAATTTAAGAAATTTTGAATTTTGTGAGTTTCAAGAGTCTCGGAAATTAAAAAAAAATAAAAATGTATCCTATATATTTATACTAATGTGCAACTTTTTCCCACAATTTTTTAATTTTGAACCAATGTGCGAATTTCCTAAAATCTTTAATTATGAAAACTTGGGAATTTTCATAATTTTTGCCAATTTTGAAAATTTAAAAAAGAGTTGTAAATTTTAAAAATATTGGAAATTAAAATAAAATGGAAATTTATCCCACACATTTTCATATTAATACTACTGTGCGAATTTTCCACAAAATTTAAAAATAGCTGAAAATATATCCTAGAATTTTGTATATTGGTACTACTGTGAGAATTGTTCCCGCAATTTGTTAATTTTGAAACAATGTGCGAATTTGCTACAATTTTTTTTATTATGACATGTTGAAAATTTTGCAAATTTTGAAGAATTTGTAAATTAAAGAAATTTTGAGTTTTGTGAATTTCAAGAATTAAAATGTATCCCACATATTTATACTAATGTGCGACTTTTTCCCACATTTTTTTAATTTTGAACCAATGTGCGAATTTCCTAAAATCTTTAATTATGAAAACTTGGGAATTTTCATAATTTTTGCCAATTTTGAAAATTTAAAAAAGAGTTGTAAATTTTAAAAATATTGGAAATTAAAAAAAATGGAAATTTATCCTATAATTTTTCATATTAATACTACTGTGCGAATTTTCCACACAATTATAAAAATAAAAAAAATTAATTATGGAAAATTTTGAATTATGAAATTTTTAAAAGTTATAAAATATGTAAATTTAGAAAATTTTGGGAATCTCGAAAATTTGGAAATTGCTGAAAATATATCCAAGAATTTTGTATATTGGTACTACTGTGTACAATTTTTTTAATTATGAAAATTTTATAAATTTTGAGAATTTTGCAAATTTGAAAAAATTTGTAAATGAATTAAATATACACAATATCGAAAATTGTAATTTTTTTGAAAATTTAGAGAAATTAAAAAATATTAAAAATCTTAATTTTATTACAAATATATCCTCAATGTTTTATATTTTTACTACTGTGAGAATTATTCACAAAATTTATTAATTTTGAATCAATGTGCGAATTTGCTAAACATTTTTTAGTTATGAAAATTTTGCAGTTAAATATTTGTAAATTTAGGAAATTTTGTAAATTTTAAGAATCTGCTAAATTAATTTTTTAAAAATTTGTAAACTAGGAAAATTTTGAGTTTGTGAATTTAAAGAATATCGAAATTTTTTTTTTTACAAATATATCCTCAATTTTTAATATTTATACAACTGTGAGAATTGTTTCCGCAATTTTTTTAATTTTGAACCAATGTGCGAATTTTCTTAATTATGAAAATTTTGTAAATTAGAAAATTTAAGAAATTTTGAGTTCTGTAAATTTAAGGAATTCTAAAATTTTGTAAATTTTAAAAATCTTCAAAATTGAAAATTTATTTGAAAAATTTGTAAATTAAGAAAATTTTGAGCTTTGTAAATTTAAAGAATAACGAAAATTTAAATTTTTTTACAAATATATCCACAATTTTTAATATTTAAACGACTGTGAGAATTGTTCCCAAATTTTTTTAATTTTGAACCAATGTGCGAATTTTCTTGATTATAAAAATTTTTTAATTTAGAAAATTTAAAAAATTTTAATTTTTGTAAATTTAAAGAATTCTAAAAATTTGGAAATTTTAAAGAACTTGTAAATTTAGAAAAATTAAAGTTTTTTATATTGAAAATTTAAAGAATCTAAAAAATTTTGAACATCAACTATTTTTTATATTTATACCTCTGTGCGAATTTTTCCCACATTATTTTAATTTAAAACTATTGTGCAAAATTGTTACTGTTTTTTTTTTAATTTTGGAAATTTTAATTTTTGTTTAGAAATTATTACAATTATAATTATAATAATCTTTGACATAGTTTAAATAATTATTGTTAAAATGTCCTTCTTTAAACTATGTCAAAGATTAAATATAAATAAAGTATTATGTTTATAAAATAAAACTATTTTCTGCATCCCAAAAATTTTTTCAACCCAGCAAAGCATTTTTATATATTTTACCTGCACTGCCACATAGTAGTAGATGTTATGTATCTCATAGGTTTTTCCTATGCCAAACAAATAGCTGAAAATCCCCGACAACAACATTCCTATGGACAAGAAGTATCGCAAATTGATCCTTTCAGCCAAAAAACCTGAAAGGAACATTGCAATGGCATAGGAAAACAAAAACGCAGAGTCCAGTTCCCCTAGCATTTGTTTGGCACTCGAATCTGAGCCATCTGAAAAAAAACAATTAATTACCATTATAACAAATTTTAAGCCAATTTCCTTACCAAAGGGGGCAAAATCACACCAATTCGGGTTACTGGGGTCATGATCGGGTTTTATTTCACTGCAGTTACGATGTAATACTGTCTTTACTACTGATATTGGTTTTCTGGTTAAATGATAGCACATATAACTTATATATGTTAAAAATAGCACGCTCCAACGGAAACTAAAATTAAAACATTAACATTATAGCAATTTTATGGTGTTTATTTTTTTTACCATTTTTCCCGATTGATTCTCAACCTTGGGCAGCAAATGTCCGTAATTTTCTGTAAAATCCTCCACCCCCAAGGCACTTCGCTTATTATTTGACTCATGTTTCTTTGTTTGAGAAATTTCCTTGAAAAATTTGCTAAAATTCCATATTTTAACAAAGAACCTAACCTCAATTTCTAACATCAATCAAATTTCGACGACAACTCACCTAAATTGACTATAAACACTAACTAAACTTAAAATACAACAAAACCTTAATGTTTTTAAATCATTATTGTTGATTTTGATTGTTTTGCTTATAATATATCAACAAAACAATTTTTTCTATGCTCTCACTTCGAGACAGGTAGCTAACAGTGTTGCCAGATGCTAACATGAAAAAGTACCTCACCACTGATTTAATTGAAAAGCACCGAATGTATGTTTCGCGCGATAACGGGCAGTTAACACAAACTTAATTTATTACGTGTACACGCGTGTGTACGTTTTTGTCTTCAATAGTGACAAAAATACACAAACATACCAAACAATTAATACCACATCTTATACAATTGTAGTAATTCTGGCAACACTGCACGCCTGCGCCATTATATTTCAAATATAAAACTGTTGCTAAATTTATTTGGACGTGTTTACGTAATTTAGAGTCAACTTTATCACTATTTTAGCGATAAAACGTGCCTACGAACTGTATTTAGATCCATTTATTTGGATTTTAAGCTCACAAAGCTAATTCTTCAAAATGGCGATAAACGGCCTTCTAGCTAAAGCAATTCAAATACGTCTGTTATCTTGGTTGCCTATACATGCAGTCTAGAAAAATCTATGCTTTTTATGACTTAATGATGAATCCATTGTCCTAGGTTGCTGTTTAATGGTAATAATTACCATTTTTTTCTATTAATAGAAGATGCGGGACTTTATTAAAGATTTCCCAAGCTACGCAGACGGCTTAATTGAATAATAAGCCGACCTAAATTAATTTCAATTAGGTATAGTCGAGAATACGTATTCTCTTTGAATGGCTTATTTATAATTTTGTATGCTTCTAAAATGATTCATTCAAGTTTTTATCTTATGATTTGGGCCATTAAATCTGTAGAGATTTAAATTTTGTTTTTCCGAAGGTACAATTTTTACCTTAAGATTTCAGAACACCTGTTGTTCAACAAAGATGGTTTTATGTCCCTTTAACCAACTAAACCAGTTTTATTTCAAAGAAGACGAGATTTCTAAAGGTACAAAAAAGGTAGTTTATACTTAAGTACTTTTATATACAAGGTGTATTAATTAAAATTATCTGTTAAAATCTAGATAGGTACCTATATATTTTAAAAAATATGCATTTATAAATCTATAGATCCTTGTAATATTAATAATGTATTGTAGAAACAATGGCAAGATTTAATTCAACTATTATAATATTATAATTATAATTGATATTACGAATAATATTATTGATCTCTATCAATGAGGACTACCGAGTGTTTTTGAGAATAAAGCCGGAAAATGTTAAAAAATATCAAAAAAAAACCGTGGCTCGATTTGTTGTGTTGTTGGGTGTATTTTGAGAGGAAATCCTGGGTTAAGTTTTTACCGGTTTTCCAATAAACAGTGTTAATCTGAATGAAGAAATAAATTGTTTACAGTCTCTGTAAATATAAATTGTACCTATTAGATACAATAAATACACATTTTAGTAGTGATTAACGTGAAAAATGTAAACATTTCAATTCAGTAAAAATCTTCAGTCGTCTAAATTTAGACAGCATTTAGCATTATAAAAAGCGTTGATTAAGAAAGTGTCCACTCAATGGTAAAATACCATTATATTATGTATTATATATAATATTATGTTGCCATGAATTCGTAGGTATATTTTGTTGTTTAAAATGCAGTTGTCGGCGTTTTTTAGAGAACTCAAATATAAAAATGGTTGATTTTAAGGTTATGTTTGTGCAAAAATTATTTTTTACTAATTTCTTAAAAATGTCCAAACCTAAATATAAATTATATTAGGTAAAGTTATCATTAGTTAATTCTGCACCAACAAATGTACTTACCGAATTGGATCCTTTGGCAAAACATGAAAATGCAACGATTTAGTTCTTGAATTTTATTTACAATTAAAAACACAATAATTCACCATGATCCCTTAGATAAAATACACACACTAACGCAACTATATAAGCATTTAAGCGTTGAGTTTCTTAATCAATGAAATAAAGAATAATCAATCAAAATCGAGTACTAAACCATTTTTTTAGTTTTTTCCTTGCAACGCAAAACACAAATAACGTGCGCGATTTAGCTGTGCAATTGAGTTTTGACGTTTCCCATAGACATAATACTAGTATTATTTCTATGACGTTTCCCCTTCGACATAACCTACAAATGTGCTTGAATTCTTTAATTTGATGCCATTTTTTGGTTCACTCACATTTTCAACTTTTCTTAGCCTCATATTTCAAAATCTAGGTATTAATCCTACTTGAATTATTTTAGTAATATTTGTATGCAGTTTTACGTTAGAAACAAATTTTAAAATAAGCAAAATTAACGTCAAACCAGTAGTTTACAAGATAATCGAGGAAAAATGTTTGTGTGACCTTTGACCTTCGATATGTAACACCGTCATGATTTTTTTTTACACTTAAGACAAGATATATACAAAAACCTATTAATAATTTAAAAAAAATAAAAACCACAAATATTTGTACTTAATTTTTTTCATTAACAAAATTAAAGGAAATTGGACAAAATTATTTTAAAATTATGAAACAAAAATAATTTAAATTTAAAAAATCTTAAACCATAAAAAACAAAACAATAGTTTTAATCGTGTTTTCAAGTTACGACCGTGGTCGAGTTAAACATTAAATCAAGAAGACTTAAAATGTATTTATGCATTGTAAATTCCCCAGCAAGCTCATTCTGTGCCTTGTGGTCAAGAGTTACTCCTCCTGTTTTTAGTCTTCTTGGATTAAATATATTATCTTCTTCCGCAGAGAGAGAAGAGAGTATATTTAATCTTTGGTCAAGGGTTATTATTATAACTGTTTAAACTGTTAGTTTTTGGAAATATACACTATAAAAATCAAGCGGCACAACAACAAATCTTAAGTGTACCGTTATTTTCTCATGTTTTAAATTGCAAAATAAACACAATTAATATGGCATTAATTTTATTACCCACAAATAATAAACGATGTAACAAATTAAACACTTTTACAGTCGACATAAATAATACACCCTGTACAACATTACTTTTACTAAAATTAAAAAATAAGACACCGCACTATTGAGACCAGGTATTCAACTTAAGTTTGCATCTGCGCATTTTATCTTACCCTGTTGTAGTGCTTTAAAAGGGTAGCGGACACATCTTGCAGTTCACATCTCTTATTTTACTTGTTCTGTCGAAATCATTGTGAAAAATGGCATACTTAAAAGTAAGCATTGTTCTATTTTTGTTTGGAGTTATTGTGGCTGTCAACTGGTAAGTAAAGTTTTTATTTTAATTATTTGACATAAAGTTTAAGACGTTTTGCGAGTAAACGTCAAAATTCCAAAGCCTTCTCCGTGTTTTTTATCTGTGGCGACTTGTGACCGTTAATTATTTAATATTATTATTTATTTTTTACATTGGTTTTAACACTTTAAACGTCTTTGTTTTGTATATACGTAGGTACATAAATACAGCACTATAGTATGTATACATATTGCTATTTGTAACAAAAAATAATGGTTTTCTTGTAAACGATTTCGATTAAATATTGTATTCAGATAATTTCGCAGATTGTAGTTTTTGAGGTTGCTGAATTTGATGTCAATTTTTCCAAAAACAAAATGGCGGGCATTTTTTCAAAAAATGCTCAAATTTGGCAACACGTGGTTTTTGAGGTGAGATTACAATTTTGATACCTACCCAGTTTTCCAATTTTTAATAAAAAATCAAAAATTGAAAATTTTTAGGATTTTTTAAAGTAAAAAAATGTTCAAAATTCGTAAATAACTATTTTTTTTATTTTAATAGTGGTTCCACCAAAAGTTTGGACGATTTTTTGGGAAAGAAGTACGAACTTCATGAGAGCAAGAACTTTGATGAATACATGAAAGCTCTAGGTAAAAAAAAATGTCCGAAAAAATTTACAGATTATAAATGATAATTTTTTTCAGGTGTTGGCTTCTTTACCAGGAAATTTGGAGCGGCTGCTTCCCCAGTCATTGACCTCTCCAAACAAGGAGATGAATACACTTTGACATCTATATCCACCTTTAAAAATGTCTACTTGAAGTTTAAGCCAGGTAAAAACATTTGATAATATTTGGAACCTACTCAAAAAGTAACAAACTGTTTTACTGACATATCAATTATCAAAAAAATACTCATTGGATATTTTTTAGGTGTTGAATTTGACCAAGAGACTCCTGATGGTAGAGACGTTAAGGCCACCATCACTGTTGATGGTACCACCATCCATGAAGTCCAAAAAGATGCCGATGGAAAAACTAACACCCTTGACAGAACATGGAGCCCCACAGAAGTCAAAATGGTATGCAAAAACAAATGAAAAACCCTATTCCAAATAAAAAAAACTATTTCTTATTTTTTTTAGGTTATGACCATTGACAACATCACCGCAACCAGAATCTACAAAGTCATTCCTTAACTTTGATTTTTTAAGTTTATTACATCACTTAAATAAATTCGTTTTAATTTTTTTTAGTTTTATTATTTTTTGTTGTTTTTCAGATTTTTAATTGTATAAAAATATTTTCACTGCATAATGTAGGCAACTGAATAACCCAGTAATCAGGCAACCAGTATTACATAACTTTTTGCTTATATCAAGAAGACTACAGAAGCTGTATTAATTACCTTTATAGTCTTCTTGGGTTTTTTTTAGGAAGAGAGATTTTTACAAAATGGGAAATAACGGTTATTTACGTCATTAGGTGTAAAAGTGAGTTTTTTGTGCAGAGCTCAAAAATAAATAAATAAATAAAATAACAACATTAATTAAAGGTGGGGTAAAAAAATTAATTGATAACTTAAAACACTTTAAACAGTGAATTTATCAAAATAAAACAGTAAAACAAACAATAAAAATGGTTCATTAGTTATGCATAAACAAGTTATGAGCGTCATTATAAGAAAAAATAATTTTTTAGTTCTAAAGTAATTAACCTATAGCCTCTATGTGATAATTACAATTAAGATTCTTATTTCAAATATACAAAGGGATGTTTAAAAAAAACATACGAAATACTAAACTCCGTGAAGGTCTAATATTCAAAATGTTATGTTATTACTAGACCTGGTGGCTTCCCAAAAACCCTATTCTAGACTAACAGTGAAACAACCAAAAATAAAAAATAATAATTTTTACTTGGAGCACATCTAAATATATTCACCCAAATAAAAAGAAACAAAAATTTACTAAAAATTAACCGTTGAATGAATATTCAAAAAATACTAAATTACAAGGACGTTCCAAGCCGTGGGCGTGGTTTAAACATTGACCAATCACAATTCCTTTAATTTGATCTTTGTGGTGAAAGAAACACGGCTATTGAAAAGAAGGAATTACCTCACTATCCTGTCGCATGTATCCTTTGTCAAGGGTATAAATATCCAACAAAAAATCTTAAATGACACCTGTCAATTTTTTCATACCTAATTTTAAATTGATAAATAAAAGGGATGATTTCAGTGAAATCACATTAATAAACGAAAAAAAAATCAAGCCATTTCACATTCTCAACACCCTGTATATATTATCAAAAAAGATCCATAATTAAATTAAAATACACGCAGGTGTCATTACGTAAAGTTTAACAACACCGCACTATTGAGAACAGGTATTCAACTTGGCAGCTGCGCATTTAATCTTACCCTTTTGGTGCTTTAAAAGGGTAGAAGACAAATCTTGCAGTTCACATCTCTTAATTTACTTGTTCTGTGGAAATCATTGTGAAAAATGGCATCTTTAAAACTTAGCAGTGTTGTATTTTTGTTTGGAGTTATTGTGGCTGCCACTTGGTAAGTCAAGTTTTAATTTTGATGAATTTACATAAAAATTGAGTATTTTTTTGAGACAAACGTCAAACGTCAAAATTCCAACGCCTTCTCGATGTTTTTTATCTGTGGCGATCTAATTTGATATTTAAAGCAGATATTTAGCATTCAAAAACATTTTTATTTATTATTTTTTATGCGGGTGTAAACTTTTTAAACGTCTCTGTTTTGTGTACAAGTTTATCCCGGACCATGGTCAATATTTTATAACAAACCTTCTAGTTTTAAATCCCTGGATATTCCAGGTATTGATTTTGTGCTAAATTAGGTAGGTATTAACAAAGAGATGCAAATGTAGGTAACTACATACTCTAATTTAATTAAAATATCATACGTTAAATATGTGTTAATTAAATTATGAACCTGCTAATTAAATGTTTTTCTGCATATAGGTACGAGGTGTGTTCAGAAAATATCGGGAATTTTCGTTTTTTGAAACAAATATTTATTTATTCGTCTACATTAATGTTGTCGCCTTCAAAATAGTCCCCATTGGATATTATGCACATAGCCTTTAGTTCTTTCAGCGATGCGCTTTTATTGTCATCTATGCTTGCAAAACGACGGTCCTTTAAGGTTCTCTTTGTTTTTGGGAATAGGAAAAAGTCTGACAGAGGCATGTCTGGCGAATATGGAGGCTGGGGCATCATTACAGTATTATTTTTGGCCAAAAATTTTGTTCAAAATTTAACAATTTTAGAACAAATTTTGCTGCCACGCGTTTCATACCCAAAACATTCGAAAAAATTTCATGGGATGAGCCAATCGATATACTAACATCATCAGCGACTTCTCTGATGGTTTATAACGATTTCTTCCACTTTTTCCATGTTTTTATCGGTTATTAATGCACGGCCATCTTGGAAACTCTTATACCACTTGTAAACTCTTGTTTTACTAATAGCAGACTCACTATAGGCCTTTGTTAACATTTCACAGAATTTATTTAATTTTTTAAGAAAAATTGGATACAAATTCTTTGATCCATTTCTTTTAACGAACGAAAAATCGCCGAGCTCATAAAACACGTCTAACCTTAGCGGCTGCCACAGACAAAGTAAACAATGAAAACAGCTAAAGTTTTTATCATACTTCGGGGGCATGTATACCAACATAATAAAGAAAATTTGATGACAACCGGACCCCCCGAACTTGCGAAATTTAACAATTCCCGTTATTTTCTGAACACACCTCGTATATTCTGCAATTTTTTGTGTTTTTATATTGTTATCGTATACCTACCTAATTGAATTCTTTTGAAATTGTTTATTGTTATATGTAGGTAATGATTAATTGAAAATGTATGTATACTTTAACAATGAGTAATAAAATATTCGATAATGAAAAATATTATTAAAATATTTGTTGTTTGAATCGTTAAAATGTTCTTGTGAAATAATACTAAATGTGAAAATTATTGTATTATCCCAATACAAAAATATTTATCACTTTCACTGTGAAAAACTGCTATATCGTATTTAAACGTTTGTTAGTCCATTTTTAAGGGATGCATTTTGATTTAGGTACACAAAAAAATTGACATTTGTCTATATTAAATTTAATGTATATTTTAAAATTAGTGTTAGAATAATCATTAATTTAATAATTAAAACATTTTTTCATTTAAAACTTAAATGACATAAAAATGAACACGACATGTTCAAAGTTTATGTAATGTTTAAAGTTTAATCAATTAGGTACTTAATTATTCTAATGGAATTTTTCTTACGTGTAAGAACATTAAATTTTATAGTCTTTATTTGTTGATGACCCAATTAAAAAAAACATTAAAAATTCCTAGGATATTTGGAACAAAAAACTGAAATAAAATGTAAATCCGACAACATTGCATGCATTCACTGGCATGAATAACAAAAAGTCGTGCAATTAGATATCTGTCATTTTCAGTAGAATTGAGGTTAGGTATCTGTCACTTTCAGCGGAATTTATTCATTAGAAGTTTGTAGAGAACGGAAAAAGAAATTTGTTTGGTTAATTATAAAACATTAAACTATTTTTTCTACCCCCACCTTTAAAACACCCTTTATCGTACATGTTTCCATGACACTAAGTGACCTTTTAAATACACATTGACAATTTGTGGCTTTACGGCGCTTTAGTCACGGGCTGAAGTTAGCAACAGGTTTTTAGTCACGGGCTGAAGTTAGTTTTAAGTTAGTTGACAGTTGTCAAATGTCATACAATCGTTTCTTGTAAAATAATACTAAATGTGAAAATTATTTTATTATCTCAATACAAAAATACAAAAGTATTAAATAGTTTCTCAACGCCAATATTTGAAAGGTTTATATGAACATTGTACCCAGATAGCACAAGATAACCCACAGACGTCCTATTTAGGTAATTCTCGGCTTAGCCAGACCTAACGGGTCTGGGACATCCATAGAACGTCAAGTCTAGACCCTGTCCGGCTTAGCCTGATTAGGCGTATTTTGGACGTCCAAAGTAAGCCAAATAAGGCTTAGCCGGACCAGGTCTATAATTGACGTTCTATGGATGTCCCAGACCCGTTCGGCCTGGCTAAGTCGAGAATTACCTAGATTGGACGTCCCTGCTCACACAGCACAGGATGTCCAAATGACGTCCATTGGACATCCTTTGGACATCTTGTACTATGTGGGTGCACCCATGGGCTATCATGCCTAAACTTTTCGTTCAAGAAATTTCGGATATGTAATAAATTGTGGGTAATATTAAATATCATGTACAAATTATATAAACCACCTATTTTTATGAGGTTTCTCTTTTGCCTTCTTTGGATGTTCGTGGGACAGCCTGAGGGTGTCACAGAGAGTCAATCAAATCGATTAGCCTTATTATAAGAAAGATTAATTTACAAAAAAATTAATTTATTATTGAATATAGGTAGTTTATAATACATATTCGTACTATTCGTCGGGATTTATACATTTATATTTAATTTAAAATTTCTTGTTATCACGTAAAGGTAGTAAAATCCATTATTGCATCATTTTTAAATTCAATTAAATTCTATTACCATTGATTAATAAGTTCACTACTTCTTTACTCAACGCTATTAAGTTTAAATGTATAAAAACACCGTTATTATAACGTATAGTTTTAAATTTTAAACATCGGTCTTCTTCGGGTAGAACCGAACGGGTTCGTGACGACGCTTCCCATAATCCGTTGCAATGGCGTTCTTTTGCTGTGTGATGGCGTTTATGGCGGTGTTTCTACATTGTGTGTTGTGATTTCTACTAGGTATTGGCTGTTTATAGACTTGTAATAGAATAAATTCAAGTAAGTAATTAGATTAGGTTTGTTTTGACTAATAGACTGTACCACACAAACAAAATTTACGGTTGCACTGATAATTGGGCGTAAACAAATCGTGAAAACAAGGATTTAAAAAAAAATATTTTATAAAAACACATTTTTATTGTTTTTACTTTCCAAGGGATTTCTTTCTATACTTTCTAAATTTTATTTTATCCTCCCAAAGCCCTACATCAAAATTTTACAACAACCAAACTACAAAGTGAGGTTATCATTTTTATTGTTATCTAGAAAAGCTTTTATTTATTTAATATCTAAGAAAGCTTTTATTCCTATTTAACCGTGAATTTTTTTTATGTGGTGCTCATGATCTCCTATACCGTTCCTTCATTTGCAAGCTATACATAGCCTATGTCATAGGGAAAATACATTGTAGGTGGACCAGACAAGTTGAAGTCAGCGCAAAGCAAGGAATGTCTGAATTTCGAATTTACCGGCAGTGGACGTCCAATGGATGTCATTTGGACACTGAGATGTCCAGGGGATATCCTTTGGACGTCCTCTGGACATTTGTGCTGTAATTATAATATAGGTGAATAAAAATGTTTGGTTATAAATTTTAGGTGTTTTAGTTTTTATTCCTATCAGCCAAATTATGGCCAAATTTGGTCCTAGGACAGTCTTTAATAGACCATTATAGGACGGCCAAAGGACAACCAAAAGTGTCTACTTTGGAAGTTCTACGGACGTCCATTCGTGGTCTTCGGATATCCGTAGGACGTCCACTATGTCCTGGGTTGACGTCCTAAGGATATCCAGTGGACGTATGTGTGCTATCTGGGTACTGACCTTTTAATTTCGCCGGCAGTAAACTATAACTTAAATTCGGGCACGGACTCCACTGTAAAGTGCTCATAAAACATTTTCTTTACTTTCACTGTGAAAAACTGTCAATTTTCAAGAAATACATTTCGATTTATAACCTTTTTAATTGTGTTTATAAAATACAAAAATGTGACATTTGACGGTGACACACAGATTCGCCTATTGTTTCATAGATGGCGCTCTATACAAATTTTTGATTTAAATCATTTTAAGATAATAATAAGTATTTGTCGTAGAAAAAGTATAGTATGCACCTCGTTTATAAACGTTTTTCAAATGAAACCATATTAATATTATTGCATTTTTAGATTCTACGTAAAAGTCTAGAAATTTGATTGTTTTTTATGAGTTTTTGAGATATTTAATTTTTTTTATTTGACAGATGTATGGTATTTGTAATATTAGTAGTGTGCGTTGGATTGTCTTTTATTTTATATTAAACAACGTTACAAGAACAAATTATTCTTGATTTTTAACAAAATTGCTTAATAGATTTATTATTTTGTTTATTAATATTGTACATACCTATTAATAAACAAAATACGTTTGGTATTATAATTAAATAAAAATACTATTCATAAAAATATTGTTTTTTTTAAGTCGACATAAATGTGCTTCTTCCAAGAGAAAAGCCCAAATCTGCAGTCCCAACTTTTTGCCGTTTACCGTGCGTAACAAATAAAAATCGTTAAATTCGCCCATGCGCTACATGGGGGCGTTCGACATAACCTCAATTAAGTCAGTGGCGTGATTATTTAGTTAAGAGTTTTTAGAGGGGTTAACCATCAAACAATAGGGAACAATACCGGCATACTCATCGCAGTTGGCGTGCGTACCTATATAAAACAAGAGAATCGCAGTGAGGCGGTCATTTGTCAATTGTTCGCGTTTAAGGTTGCTTGATGTAAGTGAATTTGAAGCCTACAGGCTTATAACGGCCATAAGCTTCTAGATTTTAGTGGGGTTTTATTGAATTTGTGCTTTTGGTGTTAGTAGTGTTTATTTTTGAATATTTATCGAGGAAAATGGTTAAATAAGTGATTAGCTACTATAGGAAATGCCGGTTTAAAATTTAATTTAGAGTTTTAGCAATAAATTTCTTTTAAATAATGTTTTATTATACTTTTATCTATATATGTACATTTTATTAGTACAAATATATAAAAAAAAAAAATTCCAGACAAATAAATTAATAGAAAAATTAGTACCTACCTACCTACTGTTTACACCACAGATAAAGGTATAAAAATAGTTAATAGTTTGTTTGTTTGTTATTCTAGTGCACTATAATAATTATATTAACTTAACAAAGTTAAATAATATAATAAGTAAAGTAAATATTACAAAAGTTTTGACTTCCTCTACAAAGTACAGTGCTGGTCAAAAATATAGGGACTTACTTAATTTGACATCGTTTAAATAATTTAGGGAACTATTTGCAAAAATAAAATATTCTGCTTGTTTATAAAATGAGATTTCGATAAAAAAAGAAATGAAATCTACAGGGTGCTCAAAAAATAAAAATGATTTTATACAAAAAAAATTTTTTTTTGGAAATATATTTTTTTTCTTTTTTTCATAGCAGTTCCGCCAAAACCAAAATGTTGGACGAATATTTGGGAAAGAAGTACGAACTTCATGACAGCCAGAACTTCGATGAATTTATGAAGGCTCTAGGTAAGAAAAAAAAAAATTTGTTAAAAATTAAATATTTTTTTAATGACAAAAGTTCATTCTGCCGGATTTAAATTAAAATAATTATTTCCTGTGTGGTAACAACCAGTTCGAAGACCCGACATTTTCAATTTTAATATATTTACATAATAAACAGTTCTGTAAAATTTAAAACTATTTTTGTTTATGCAATTATTTTTTTTATTTACTTAAAACCTGTTAACTCATTTATTTCGGTAAATATTTATCAAGTAACCAAATACTTTTCTTCAGTTGTTTATCTTTTTATCAAGGTCAAATAAACCTTTTCGATATACCTATATTATATTCATAAACTAAAAACCCTTAGAACAAAACATAAAATAACTTGAGTTGTTTGTGTAAAGCAATTATGGATGTTTATCAAGTTTGACGTTAATATCTTGAAGAATTTACGAGACAGTAAAAATACCATAAATTCAGTCTTTTGCAGTATTTGAATGTTTTATAGATTGCTTCCGGTTGTCTGGATAGATTGCCTTCCTTCCTTTCTCCCGTAGTCGTGCCCGTACGATTTGTGAGTCTTGTAAAAAGTCAATTTATAGATTTCCGTGTAAAATTCCGTAACCATGCGCGATGACACCTAAAATGGTTGACATTTGTTTTTGTTTATATTCTGCGTTTTACCCATTGTGTGTAAATATGAAAGATAAACATTTATATTTTAGTGCAGTGATCACAATTTTAATTGCCCAGGCAGCTTGTTGTATACTGCCCAACTATGGAGAAAGGCTGTAACTGCTAAACAAGAAATTTGTGGGAAATTAGCATAAACTACATTTTTATAAAAAGCAGTAGGTATTTAACTGATTTATTTAACTTAAAAGATAGTTTACTGCAATTCTTTGTGAATTAAGATACAAAATGTCCATAGCTTTATAATAGCATTTTTAGTTACTGCCTTTCTCCATAGTAGGGCAGTATAATGAAAAAAAACATCGAACAAGACGTTGGAAGACTCGCCCACTTTACCAAGACCGGGAAACTACGGGGTTTTACAAAGCAACATTTCTAAAAATGAAAGACATTGATCATAAACAATATCTAAATATCCTATTTAGAGACACAGATTATTTAATAAACTGAACACCTATCTTAAATAATACTAAACAATCATGTATTTTAAATATTTTGGGCCTACGCGCTGTCACCCTACAGCGCATGTCCATAACAAGCACTGTGATTGGTCATGTCAAAGACCTTTACGGTGAAAGATAAAACTTAAAAATTTCTACGGGAGGAAGGAATGCCGTCCTTACGGTACGGGAATCTATAACTGGCACTACGATTTAAATAAACATTTTTGACGTAATTGTCACCATTAACATTGCCGTTATTAATTTTAATTAAACTTAACAATTATTGATACTTTAAAATATTAAAATAACTTCAAAATATGATTTTGTTAAGAAAATATTTTATTCTTTGATTTTTTTTATTACTATAATTGCAAAATATTATCACAAAGTATTAAAAATTCTTACACGGGAAATGTTAATGGTGACAATTACGTAATGTTCATCTTCTACGGGAGGAAGGCAATCTATAAAGTATTTAAATACAAGTTTTCGCATCTTTTTAAATGTATTTTAAATCAATTTAGGACCATCGTCCATAAAACCCATTCACGTAGGTACACCCTGTATATCCCATCTTTCCAAAACCCTGTATAAAAACAATATGTGCAAATAAACAAAAAAATTAAACAATTGCTTGTTAACGTGCTAAAACACTTTAGAAAAACAAAATAATCTCCAGCTGGTAAGGTTCAAAGTTTCAATTATTATCGTTTAAAGACAACAAAAACAAATGCATAACTTTATCGGAGTTCGTTTTGCAGTTTGGAATCCAGTGAGCCGGTGTTAGTTGCTTAGCGACCGTTGCAGGTTCAACATAACTCGTTTTAAACCGGTGAATAAACTGTAACTTTTTAAACGCTTGTTTTTAACGGAGTTCATAGTAACAAGTAAAGATGGGTTTGGATACAATTTTCGGTATTAAATACCAGCTGAATACCAGTGAGAAGTTTGATGAATATATGAAGGCTTTAGGTAACATAATATTGTTTTAATTATTTGTCAAAAATTAACATAACCTCCCAATTTTACCATTTTTAAAATTTAATTGTTCTTCCATATTTTAACGTTATCCAAATATTTTTTTATCATCATACATTGTTCCAATTACTTTAAAAATAATAATAATAATGATTTTGTGAATTATTCCAACAATTTCACATTAAATGTTGGGTTAAAGGTCATAGTTTCCAAGTTCAAAGTCAGCCTATCAATATGCAAATATTTAATTAATTAATACATTTCCGTTAATAATATTAAATATTGATTCATTAAAATAAATCACCTTTATTAATTTTATTATTCATGTAAATTAAAAGAAACATGACCCGGCTTAACTTGGACTATGATTTCTAATTATAAACAGCGAAATTTTTTAACTTAAAATTGTTGAAAGTTAACTAAAAGTACAAAGTACAAATTATTGCTCAAGGTACATAGGTACATTTTGCTATAAATTATGTACTTTTGAACGGATGTTGACAATTTTTAAATATTTTTTATCGGATTTAGAGGTTACCTATAGTCCATTCCATTTAAGAATGGAGTAGATGTCGCTGCAAAACAAGACCAGTTTGCACCTCAGACAAAAAAAATATATGTATTATTTTCAGAAAATAAGACAAAATTAACATTAAATTGAGAAACATAACCTTATTATTCGACTGCATTCCTTATTTAAATGTCAGTGGGATTTTTTATGTGGAACATGGTAGGGTAAACCACATAGTTATTGGACACTTAAGGAATATTATTTATTTAAAAATTTTATATGCTGTTGTTTTAAAGATTTTAGTTTTTTTTCTTATAAATTTATAAAAAAAGGTAGTTTGTTTGTTTCAACTTTATTTACGTTTACTTAAAAATAAAAATATTTGAATTTTTAATATTAGTTTTATAAAAACATGCAAAAAAGTATAGTAATTGTACACATGGACCATAGTTATTGGATATACAATTTTTATATAAACATAAGAACTTTACATCAAATAACATAAATTGTTAAATATTTTTTATAGATAAATTGCTGTTTTAGGTAATTTTTTTTCGTTTTGTATATATCATATAATTCATACAGGGTGTCCGGAAAAAGGAGGTCAATCCTTTAACCATATATTCCTTGAGTTAAAACAATAAGACTTTCATAATACCATTTTTCAATTTAGAGCTTCATGTTCGATATACAGGGCGACAAAGTTTGAAATTTAAAACAGATTTTTTTAAATAATTCGAGTAATTAATAAGGTATTAAGTTCAAATTTGGTACACTTACATACGTACATTTATAATGTTTAGGCCAGAACAGGATGATTTATACATAACCAATATTTTTTCGGGTGGTATGTTAAAAGTATTTTCCGAATTTATTAATTTTGTTGCCATTAGTTTTTTATGTTCTCTATCATGCACTGTATTTAAATCACTGTTATTCTGCAAGATGTCCTGTGACAAAGAAATCGCTATATTACTTACTCTCTAAAAATAAATTAGTCAAAAATGTCATAGCGAAAAAGCAGCCACTAGTAATTCTCGTCAACAGCAATTTGTATCCAGGACATTTAGCAGTCAATTCCTATGAAATATTATTCGCTGAATCCGAAAATGTCGTCAAAAGTTATAAAAGTAGAACAGTTTTTGAAATATAATCAATTTTAAATATAATATGACTATATTTCAAAAACTGCTTAACTTTTATAGTTTTTGACGTTCTTTTCGGATTCAGGGGACAATTTTACATAAGAATTGGCTGGTAAATGTCCGGGATACAAATAGAGTATGATATTGGACATATGTCCAATAATTGAAATTTACATTTTTTACCAACCAGTAATTGTACACTGTGTTTTCAGAATTAAAATTAAAACGCATTAAAGTGACAATGTTTAAACCATGAGGAACACATTTATACCACACACTGATCTGTACACGTTTTAGAAATATTTTTTATTTCAATTTAAACACAGCCCTGCCCTTAACAAAAAAAACAAAAATCTTACCACCAAAGTAACGTGCGAACTTTTTTGTCCTATATTGGACCCAAAATAAAGTAGTTCTATATTATTACCGACTGACATATTTATAATTGTATACAGCGCCATCTAATGATTTGACTTAAATAAACTATTAATAGAACTCTTGTTTTTACAGTATTAATGTTAATTGTCCAAAGTTTTATTAAAAATGTAAGAACTATTGTAAAAATTTTGTTTGGAATTTTAAAATTCATTTGGAACAACTTAAATATGGGGTTTAAAAACTTTAAATCTAAATTTTTTCTGAGGTAAGGGCCTTACCGTAAGGCTTAAAGAAAATATAAATGCAATTCATGAAACTTTTATTAAAAAACAAAACATAATTTAAAAATATTTTCCTTTAGTTATTTTAAGGGATTTTAATGTAATCTATATTAAAAAAATGAGGTTAAACCCGTCTGACAGATGTCAGACAGAAGCGTTACCTGCAATTGATAAAAAAGCAAAAACTAATGAAAGCAGGTATTGAGTAGATTATAATTTATATATAAATGGTTATTTTTTCTAAGGTGTCGGCTTTTTGACCAGGAAATTGGGAGCTGCCGCTTCCCCGGTCGTTGACCTCACCAAAGAAGGCGACGAATACACTTTGACATCTGTCTCCACCTTCAAAAATGTCATCTTGAAATTCAAGCCAGGTAAAAACATTTGATAATGTTTGGTACTATGCTCCACACCTCAAAGTCCCACCACGTGACCACGTACGGAACGCAGTCTTTTGAAAATTTGGCATTTAAGGCTTTTCAGGTTATGTATCTGTCAAAGTATAGTCAACGAAAGAAATAATATTATGTTTAGGCGTTAAAAATGTATAAATCTTTATAACATTACAATAACAATGGATGGTTTAAGAATTTAAGAATATAAATACTGCATTTAATGAAATTCTAAAGTGTATGGTGCCAAATAAGTAATATTTTTGTGCATTTGGTCCAAATACCTGGTTTTCTCCATAAAATAATTTTAACTAAACAGCATTTATTAAAATAAAATCTAACTTCTCTATTATGAAATAAGAATATCTGTATCAAAGGTAGGTTAATATATTATAACAAAAATATCATCTAATTTTGTAATTTTCAGGTTAGAAAAAATTATTTTGACCAAAATAAATAAGTATTTTGGATTATTTAAAAGACTGTATAATATGGTATTTAAAAATGTGGTACTTATTCTTATCCAGCTTAAAGTGTACCTACATAAAGTTTTGTCAATACAAATAGTTAAAAAGCTTTGACCGAACTTGATCTACATCGAAAAATCATTATAACTTTAAAAATTTTAATAAATCACATGTCATGGGAGTATTAAATATTTTTACATTGCAAGTTTCTCTAAAAATTGTTTGTTTTCTTATAATCTAACTTAAAGTAGGTATGCCAAGGGGTATGCACAAGTTTTGTCATTAGAAGTATAAAAGCTTCAATTTAATTTGAACCATATTCAACAATTATTTAGTATACCTATATTTATTTATGACCATATTAAGACACTCTTCCAAAGAACCCACTTATTTATTTTGGTCAAAATAGATTTTTTTTAACCTTAAAATACAAAATTAGGTGATATTTTTTGTTCTAATACATTAACCTACCTTTGATACAGATATTCTTATTTCATAATAGAGAAGTTGGATTTTTTTTAATAAATGCTGTTTAGTTTAAAATATTTTATGGAGAAATGTAGACCCAATGGACAGAAATATCACTTATATTGCACCTTACACTTTGAAATTTCATTAAATGCAGTATTTATATTCCTAAATTCTTAAACCAACCATTGTTATTGTGATACTATAAAGATTTATTAACTTTTAACGCTTAAACATAAGCGGTAACACTATAAATATTATTTCTTTCATTGACTATACTTTGACAGATACATAACCTGAAAAGCCTTAAATGCCAAATTTTTAAAAGACTGCGTTCCGTACTTGGTCACGTGGTGGGACTTTGAGGTGTGGAGCATAGTACCTACATATATTATAAAATTATAAAAAATACCTATTGGATATTTTTTAGGTGTTGAATTTGACCAAGAAACCCCTGATGGCAGAAATGTAAAGGCCACCATCACTGTAGATGGCGCCACCCTCCATGAAGTCCAAAAGGACTCCGCTGGAAAGACTACCATCATTGACAGAACTTGGAGCCCAGAGGAAGTTAAAATGGTAAGTAAAAACAAAAAAAACTGTCTTTATTATACTCTTTTTTCAAAATTTTTTAGGTTATGAGCATTGACAACATCACAGCCACCAGAATCTACAAAGCCATGCCATAATTTTCCAATTTTTTAAGTCAAACTTATGTATAATTTTAACATACATATAACATACCAGTACTGATTAGTTTTCAAAATAACTCATTTTTTGTTTTGTTTTTATTATTTTATTATTAGTTTCTTATTACATCACTCAAATAAATTCGTTTTATTCATATTTTTTTGTTTTTTTTAATTTAATGATTTTTTATTTTATATTTAATAATAGGCTGTATAAAATAATGGTAAAAAATATGATATTTCCATATTACCAACTTAATTCTTTTATACAGTTTATTTATAAACAAAAAAGACAAAAATCTTGATTCCAAGGTAAATTTTACAAAACATGGCATCATGGACGTAAAAAAATCTATTAAATGTAAAATTTAAGAGAAAAAAATACCACATAAATTGAATTGCTGTCCCCTATAGGTACTGTCTTTGCAAGGATTTTACACACAATGTGTAAAATCCTTGCTGTCTTTGTACACTGAAAAATGTTAATAATGACTCAAAAACTACAAAAAAATTACAGGATATAAAAATTATTGTATTAAAGTCTTTATATCAAGTAATTTAAGAGTTATAAGGATGTTAAATACACCCCAACATTTTTCGTGTTTTGAATCGACTATAGCACACATAATAGGGACAAAGTGGCATAAAATTTATGGAAAATATGTGGGGATTCAATTCAATCCACCATAAAAGTAAAAAAATGCTGATAAGCTAAACTTTGTGGGTAAAATTTGGTTCTATGTATGCAAGCAATGATTAACCAAAAACTCACAAAAACCAAAAAAATGTATAATTTAAAACGTGTTTTCTCTATGTATGTGGCAAAATGCAGTGTAGTTTTATGTAAACACGTTTGCCCTTATTCGCAGAACGATTTCCAAAAGACAATGTACTGTTTGGGACAAAAATACGGTCTTTTATTTCCACAGACCAATTTTTTGCTCATACTAACAATTTTTGGAAAATGTTTTTCGAGAGGTTCAGCTAAACGATAAAACATGAAATTTATTTCAACATGCTTTAAATTTGCATATAAACGTTTTTAAACCTAATAAAAATAGAATAAATTCAAGTACTACTTACCAACCAATAAATTTCATGTTTCCTAAACTAAAAAAATGTGAGTGTGACCCATAATTTTGTTTAATAAATGTGGTTTTATGTGAATTTATTGTCAAAATGTAACAACTTTTTATTATATTACAGCGCTGTTAAAACCAAATATGCACAAAAAAAGTGGCGCTCCCTTTATTTTTGTATTAAACTATTCCCCCTGTTACAAAGACATTTCTGCGATTTTCATCGCAAAATGGCTCTATAAAGGTTTAGGTTATAGTTTTTTATATATTATGTACGTTAAATTATGATAATATATTAACATAATTAAGAAAAACCCACTTTATTTATCCCTGAATGCAGACAACCACCATTACACCTAGTTGTATTAGGCAACCATAGCAACAATAACTGTTTGTTTATACATGTGATTACGTTCAAACTTTTGCGGTTAAATTAATCAATTTGTCGATTTTTTTTAACCATATGAACCGGTTGTTGGAATAAGTAAACAATTAATAAAACAAATTATTTTAATTGTCGGGTATATACGCGTGTGCATTGTTTTTCGTCTGTCATTTTAGTTTGCGAGTGAAAAGTGTTTGCATTGTCGACTTTACAGTTGAGGTAGATCATTATTTCAAAGGAAAATCAATAGTTTTCGCTATTTTCCTACGCGCATGACACCCATAACCTCATTTTGCAAATTTTCGCAATTTGTGCAGTGTGCCATGGTAATTTTCATTGGTGCGGGAGCAAACAGTTGACTGTGGTAGACAATGCTTTTGACAGTTGTATAAACAATTTGTTTTGTGTGTGTTGTAATAGTTTTAAGTGTTTTTGTTTGAATAATATTCAAAATGAAGTTGATGCCAGTTAATTATCTTGGTTTTACTGCCATGGATAAGAGGTTTTCCAGCCCTATGTTGCCCTGGATTGTGTCTGAGATAAGAAAAAGGGATTACTGTGAAAAGGTATGTAAATATATTACTGGATATCAAAGATAATAAAATAATAATTATCCAACCGCGAAAACCACATGGTCTGTGATAATAACAGACAAACACATTAAGGATACTGTAAAAAATATCGTTAACTTTAAACAATTTAAACAATATATTTATGAAAATAAAAAACCCAGTTATTAAGCATTAACAATGGTTCATTAATTATAAACAATTTATAAACGTCATTCTGAGAAAAGGTAATTTTCTTGTTTTTATACAATTAACTTTTGGCCTCTGTGTAGGTAAAATTAAAATTAAGATTCTACCATTTAAAAAATAACACCGCTTAAATTTGATAGAATTATTAAACAACAAAAAATACAAATAAAAAAATATTTTATATAAATATAAAAATTAAGGGTCAATCCCCAATATTTTTTTAATTTTGGCAGGGGTTCCATACATGGGTAAAAAGTCTTCATTCCTCTCCAAAAATTTGACCAGTTTGGACTCGAGTTCTTTTACGCAAGAAGATTTTCTAAACATTTCCTCCAATTCATCGCGTTTTTCAAGATCGAGCTGAAAAAAGATTTTATCAGATTTAAAAATATTAATTAAATTGCGAAACTCATTATGTACCTATGTAGAATCTACATTGTAGATGTTAAAGGATTATAACCCCAAATTATAAATAAATTTAAATTAATTTACGATAAAAATTTTAGCAGTAAGAAAGGTCAAAAAACTAAATAGGTAAATATAAAAAACCTTGATTTTGAACCTTAAAAATGAAGTCGACATTATTTAAAAATACAGATGTAGGTAATGTATTACTTAATTTCTTTAAAATATTCAATTAAACAAACAAATAATTTTTAAATGATTTTAGAACTAATTCAGTTTCATTGACCTATTTTTTTAATGTAACATAGTTTATTTACAATTTTTAAGCCTATCAAGGTAACCTCTCGTTTCTTGTATTCATAAACCTGTTTTATGTTCTGGTTAAATATAAAAAATATACAGGGTAAGGCATTTAACTTGAAGCTTTGAAATATCTCAGTTAGTATGCATTTTACGAAAAAAAATTTAAAATAAAAATTAAATGATTCGAACAGGGGGTAACTTTAAAATTTCCAATGGGACACCCTATTTTTTATTGCAGATTCGGATCATTCGACTAAAAATAGGTAGATTTTGTCTAAAACATTTTTTCATATTTGTAATAGATGGGGCTGTAATGAAAAAAAATCAATTTTGTTCTATTTTTCTTTTTATACGATTCTGCACTAATTTTTCTTTAAAAACGACATTTTTTATAAAAAAAATTGCTTGTTAAGAAACTTAATTTGCAATATAAAAATTTGATATTAGATGTACAGGGTGTTAATAAGTTAAAGGTTTTTTACTTTTAACAAAAATATAAAGTATTTTTTACGGTTAACCAAAACGGTTTTATAACGGTATATGTACGAAACATTACCAAATTTGGGGAATGGTTTATTTCGTTATTTTACCTACATAATACCCTTTTTGATCTACTAAGAGATTAACGTAATAAAAACAATATAAATACCACAAATTTACGTAAAAATAACACTATAATTACTAACTGTTTGCTCTCTCTTTCTAAAACATTGACATTCGTAATTTCTTTGTTCTTTTAATTTATATTTTACAAAATGGAACTTACAAAGTAATAAAGGCCACCCTGGAGTAAAATTAAAAAATATAACTTAAATTGTCAAAACTAACAATATTTTGCATTAAAAGTGTTGAAACTTATTATTAATTAATTATATTTGAAAGAAGATTACTAAAAAATCTTTATCTCGTTTAGGTACATTCAAATCTATTAATTTTTTGGAGTTTCTGAAAATTGAGTAAATAAAACGCTTTTTATACCTATATTTTTTAATTATAATAAAAAAATTGTAATAAAAAACAAAAAAAAATATATTAAAAAAATATTTTGTTAAATAAAAATTGGAAAAAAATATTGTTTTACCTTCGTCCAATTTCTGTCAATGTATATTTGTTTCAGTAATTTCGTGTACTTCACATTCTCATCGTTCTGCAAAAATTAAAAAAATAATTGTTTCCATAGCAACCGTTGTTATCAGTGGACTATTTTGTTTGTTAAGGGTCATTCCAGACGATACTGAGGGTGAAAAAATAAATATGTTCTTTTCGCATTAAATCTGATGAATTTTGAAAGAAAACATCCCAAACCATTGAGTTTAACAAAATCGACTCGAAAATATTTTTTGAAGAAAATTGAATGCTCTACAAAAAAGGTTAAAACGAAATTTTCTGTCAGATGAACCGTTTCCTTAAAATCATGCCTTAGAAATTGTTATAGTTTTACATTTTGATCTTTTAACTTTGGAATTTTGTATTTCATGTAAAAATCAGTACCCAGAAAAAAACGATGAATATTCTTATGGGAAATCAAATGCTTTACAAAAAAAGCCTCCTAACATTTTTGGTTAAATTCACTCAATCAAAAGTTATTCAAGGTTAAATTTGAAGTCAAAACGAAATTTCTTCAAAAAATATTTTCGAGTCAATTTTGTTAAACTCAATGGTTTGGAAGTTCTGAGACAAAAACTTGCTGAGGAAAAAAAATTAAAATTGCGATGATAGACCTCTTAATATTAATATTATGGACTCAAACTTTCACAATAATTTTTTTTGTCACCCCAAACCATATTTACGATATACTTTTCAAAAAAAAATAGTTGATTTTTTTGGCCCAGTCTAATGACCATTGAAAAAATTGATAATTATCACGTTATAAGTGTGTTTTCTTGTTACTTTGACACTGTAACACCCGAAACGAAAACGTTATTTGTGACAGTGATTATGTGGTAGATGGTTGGTAAATATTATACTTTTGGAGGCCTGTAATTTTAAGGAATGTTTCCTTAAAAAAATTCGTAACACCCGAAACGATAGAATGACCCTTGTTTCAGCAGCATTCCTACCTTTGCATTCATCAAGTATCTGTCCATTTGATCGTAAGCGCTATCAAAACGATCATGATAAATCGCATACGCCCATGGCTGTCTAAAATAGTCAAACAGGTCTCTAATGACGACCATTTCAAACCTGGTCAGTAAGTTGTTTAAAAGTTGCTCGTGTTTGCCATAGAGTAGGGCCAGGTTCTGGACTTCAATTGGCTAAAAAAAAATATACATCTCGATCAAAATAAAAAAAAAATACCCACAGATCTGTTCAAGCATGTTATAGTTTCCACTTTTCTGAATTTATTCAAATGCAACCTGAAATACCCCTGCCTATCCAGATTTTTGCAATCTCCAGTTATAAGTACATGACCCTGAAAATAAAAAATGTAGACACACTTTTTTAATTCCCTTCACTTACGTAATCCCCTTTGGATAGCGCCGCTTCCAACGGTACCATCATACCCGGTTTTCTTATGGAGAGATAATAAAGGCCGTCTGGAAGTTTGCAGTAACGTATCAAAGGTTTAACGTAATTAGGGACAAGCAAATTGCTTCTAGATGGGCCGGATTCAGGATTTTTTAGCGACACAGGGGTGTACGTGTGATCTAAATTTATGCATTTCAACAGCATTTCCCTTATTTGAAGTCCTAGAAATATTCTCCCAATTAATTAAAGATTTTGAAAAATTTCCAGATTATTACCCAATTTTTGTCCTATTTCTTTTCTACTGAAGTATTTATGTATTAAATGATCAGCATAGTAGTGTCTTCCATATCTGGTTAAGGTACCCGCCCCATAAATGTGTTTGTCGTTTGTTCTGCATTTTGCGTCAATAATCAAACGCCCTGTGTGGTAAAAATAAAAAAATATTTTAAACCTGCACCAGGCATACGTACTATGCTCCACACCTCAAAGTCCCACCACGTGACCACGTACGGAACGCAGTCTTTTGAAAATTTGGCATTTAAGGCTTTTCAGGTTATGTATTTGTCAAAGTATAGTCAATGAAAGAAATAATATTTATAGTGTTACCGCTTATGTTTAAGCGTTAAAAGTTCATTAATCTTTATAGTATCACAATAACAATGGTTGGTTTAAGAATTTAGGAATATAAATACTGCATTTAATGAAATTCCAAAGTGTAAGGTGCAATATATAAGTGATATTTTTGTGCATTGGGTCTACATTTTTCCATAAAATAGTTCTAACTAAACAGGATTTATTAAAAAAAATCTAACTTCTCTATTATGAAATAAGAATATCTGTATCAAAGGTAGGTTAATGTATTAGAACAAAAAATATCATCCAATTTTGTATTTTAAGGTTGTAAAAATCTATTTTGACCAAAATAAATAAGTGGATTATTTGGAAGAGTGTGTTAATATGGTCATAAATAAATATAGGTAAACTAAATAATTGTTGAATATGGTTCAAATTAAATTAAGTTGAAGCTTTTACTTCTAACGACAAAACTTGTGCATACCTCTCGGCATACCTACTTTAAGTTAGATTATAAGAAAACAAACAATTTTTAGGGAATGTGAAAATATTTAATACTCCCATGACATGTGATTTATTAAAATATTAAAGTTATAATGATTTTTTGATATACATAGATCAAATTCATTTCAAGCTTTTTAACTATTTGTATTGACAAAACTTAATGTAGGTACACTAGCTGGATAAGAAAAACTACCACATTTTTAAATACCATATTATACTGTCTTTTAAATAATCCAAAATACTTATTTATCTTGGTCAAAATAAATTTTTCTAACCTTAAAATTACAAAATTAGATGATATTTTTGTTATAATATATTAACATACCTTTAATACAGATATTCTTATTCCATAATAGAGAAGCTAGATTTTTTTAAATAAATGCTGTTTAGTTAAAATTATTTTATGGAGAAAACCAGATATTTGGACCAAATGCACAAAAATATTACATATTTGGCACCATACACTTTAGAATTTCATTAAATGCAGTATTTATATTGTTAAATTCTTAAACCATCCATTGTTATTGTAATGTTATACAGATTTATACATTTTTAACGCCTAAACATAATATTATTTCTTTCGTTGACTATACTTTGACAGATATATATGTATATATGTATATATATATATATGTATATATATATATATATATATGTATATATATATGTATACATAACCTGAAAAGCCTTAAATGCCAAATTTTCAAAAGACTGCGTTCCGTACGTGGTCACGTGGTGGGACTTTGAGGTGTGGAGCATAGTACCATCAAACACAAGTCCGGCCTGTATAATCGACTTGAAAGTTCTAGGGCTCACGGATTTTCCTATATAAAAAAACATAGCCGAACATTTTAGATCCATGCACCTATTTTCCGACTCAAATTTGACATGACTTATGGCGTTATCCGCCTTGTGGTACACCCAGTCGTGGAAGTAATAGCCTTGGTACACTTTCACTCCTAAAACAACACAATATTGTCTGTGATTGTACCATTCACGGTATATTTTACCGCATCTTTTGATAGCTTCCATTACTGCCTCATCAACGAGCGGATCATTGAAAAAATCCACACTATGTCTAAAAACTCCATCGAAAGATGCATTTGGAGGGAACGGTTCTACATATATTAATTGATCACCCGGTACACCATAAGCTATCAAGGTGCCTATGCAGCATAGGGCTTGTAGAAAATGACCATAGACTATGATTTTGTCTGTAAAAAGCATGGTCACCCAATAGGGGTGTATATTAAAATCGAACATCCCTATTGAATGACCATTTGCATTACCTCCTTTTTTGACCTGTTTTATGGTTCTCAAGTCTATTATAGCGCTTACAGCATCCAATTCAGTATTTATTACGTACACATTCCTTGGATACTCCTTTTTTGGTTCAACGTCGGGTCTAACAGAATTCTTCTGGAACTGTTCACCACACATCAAAAACAAAAAATCGTACGGTATATAACTGACATCATCAATAGTTATGTACCTAAAATAATTCATTGTCAATAGATCTTCTTAATCTAATATTTTAATACCTTTCTCTTCTATTTATAGCTGTCATCACTCCATGGGCTATATTAACTTGTGAAGCGATCATTGTAGAAAAGGATTCATATTCAAAGTCTTTTTGTATGAGAAGATTGTCTCTAATTTTAGTTGGTACCTTGTGCTTAGTCATTGAATGTGAGTTTACCATTGTTACGTTATGAAATATCACCTAAAAACAGTAAAACCCCTAGGAAAAATATTGATTGATTGATTGATTGATTGATTTACAAATTTATCTTTAGGCTGCTTCATGTACAAAGCCTCTAAAAAACCTAGAGCGGTCTCGCTGGCCCCTACCACCACAATTCTTGTATTGAACTCGAAACTCCTTCTATTAGAAGTCCAGGGTAAGCTTAGATATAAAGAAAATGGATCTTCACGTCGCAAAACATACTCTTCAGGTGGATAATCTAAAATAAAGTCGAATTGTACTGTATTGCTTCTAAAAAATCGTACAGCATACCTTGTAGGCACTCCATGTTATACACAGGTGTGATCCGTGATTTTACCGGAATCATATAACTTATGGAATTATGCATGGGTCTTTCTTTGTGCGACGTTTTGTAGTACAACGACGAGAAATCGCTCAACCGATGCAACTCGGACAAAAAATGCCGGCCTTGCTTGTGAAAAACCGGCGTGACCACCAGATACTCGATCAAACCGTTGCAACCCGTTCGATGGTACCGGTAATCCATCCACCTCGATATGTTGTAGTGCCCCATGAGGTAATCCGAGTCCCTAAACTCGGACAAAACTAAGGAATAACATTAGCGTGTTTGCCGGTTTTTACCGGGTTGTTTGGAATTGCGAAATTCGTTCAAAAAACATTCGACCGGTAAATCGCCGGTTAGTGGCCGGTAAATTTACCGGTTTTACTGTTTTTGCGCGAATCAAGGTTTTTCAAGGAAACCGGTAAATCGCCGGTTAGTTAGTTGCCGGTAAATTTACCGGTTTTACCATTTTTGCGCGAATCAAACATTTCCAAGGAAACCGGTAAATTTACCGGTTTTACTATTTTTGCGCGAATCAAACATTTCCAAGGAAACCGGTAAATTTACCGGTTTGATCATTTTTGCGCGAATTAAGCATATCCTAGAAAACCGGTAAATGGGGGTCCTTCTTTTTTACCGGCCATTCCGATTATGTCATCTTCGCAGGTCAACAAGTAGCACAGGTAGGGTCTCCAAGGGCTTTCGATGCTGGAATGGTACAGTCTGCGTAAATTGTCCCTGCTCGGTAATTCTTTGAGAAGATCTTCGATTCCCATCTCATCTTCTTCAGTGGCGGATCTTACGGCGATTTGTCCGACCATACTGTTGCGGTGTAGCAAGTATAGGGAGTTGGGGAATGTACCTTCCGGACGTGGGGGTACGAACATGAAGAAATGGAGGACTGGGGGGGCTAAACACTACGTGTTAATAATTCCTTATATAAAAGTGTATTTGTTATATAATACTTAGTGCGAATGGTTGTGATAAAACGCAATAGTCCCTGTCAGGGAAGCATTCGAATGCTGCTTCGTATAAATGTGACAACGACGCCAAATGTGCCGGTTGGGCTAGAGCAATTTCCAGGGCAAAAGCGTTGGGAGAGCCGTAGTATTTGGATTTTCTTTTTCCTTTGAAATGGGACCAATCTGTAAAATTACCGGTAAAAATATCTTTGACCAAGTTGATCTTAGAACTTTTTTTCTTACACTGTTCCCTAGCAAGGGCGATGTCATGACTTGATCCTTTGTGATGTTCGTAATACTGAATTTCGTGCGTTAAATGTTCCTCGTATTCCCCCAATTTTTTCGCCACCATCTCGATATTGGACAAGAAAGACTCGTCTTCCGATACATCGTCCGGAGAGAACATTAAAGAGTAGTCCGAATCATCGTCTGAAGAAGAATCCTTCAACATAAACTCTGAAGAACCAGTTTCGGATTGGTTGTACTGAAAAACATTGGACTGGTCTACTATGCTTTTAGAATATTCGGAATCATCCATCTGGCTTCTAAAAAACAGTCATGTATTGAAATAACTAAACCGCTCTAATACACAGTGTCCCTGAACGAAGTTTAGGTCACATAAAAATGCCGCCAAAACTGATTGCAATTTCTTGTTCGGGACCCTTTGGTGACTTAAAAATGATATTTACCAAAATCCTAGCTGATCCTCTTTTCGAAATTTTTTGAAAATTCATGATTTTTTTTTTAATTTTTGTCTACCTTTGACAGAGTACACATTTGTACACCGACTTTAATAATATTGGAGTATATTGTTAAGGAGATTTGGAGAATACTGTTTATACTGTGCACATCATTTAATATATACAGGGTTAGCCAAAAATTGCTTCTTTTAATAAAGCAAAAGCGTAAATTCATGATTTTGGCATAACACGCAAAAAAGATATATACCCACCCATGTTTTTTTAGATATTTTTATGTTTATCAGGCTACAAAATGGGATTCTTATCCAGACTTTATAAGAAAAATTGATTTTGAATAAAATTAAATAAAATAAATTTTTTTGGAGATAAATCTGTTTTGTGCATTATGCTTTTTACTATATAAAAACGTGATTTTTGGCTAATCCTGTATAAATCTAATGATGTGCTCAGTATGAAAACAGTATTCTCCAAGTCTCGTTAACAATATACTCTAATATTATAAAAATAGGTGTACAAATGTGTACTCTGTCAAAGGTAAGATAAACAAAAATTAAAAAAAAAAATTAAGAATTTTCAAAAAAATTCGAAAAGAGGAGCAGCTAGGATTTTGTTAAATATCATTTTAAAGTTACCAAAGGGTCCCGAACAAGAAACTGCAATCAATAAAAATCGGTGTACAAATCTGTATTCTGGCAAAGGTAGACTTTGCGATAAACAAATAGTTTTAAAAAAATGATTTTTTAACAAATTTAAAGAAAAGCAGTTAGAATTTTGGTAAATACCGTTTTTAAATCTCCAAAGAGTGCCGATCAAAAAACTTTAACCAGTTTTTTGTTCAAAATTAAAAACTTCTAAAAAGCCTAAATTAAACAACATTTTAAATATTCTCTAATTTTATTAAAAATCTATTTTTTTAATAAAAGGTTAATAAGAATGCCATTTTGTAACCTAATAAACATAGAAATATCTAAAAAAAATGGGGATACATCTGTTTTGCTTGTTATGCCAAAATCATGAATTTACGCTTTTGCTTTATTAAAATTAAGCGATTTTTGGTCCACCCTGTATATATCAAATGATGTGAACATTATTAAAAAGTATTCTTTAAGTCTCCTCAATAATATACTCTAATTTTATAAAAATCGGTGTACAAATGTGTACTCTGTGAAAGGTAGACTGAAATAAACAAAAATTTAAAAAAAATCATAAATTTTGAAAAAATTTCGAAAAAAGGATCAGCTAGGATTTTGGTAAATATCATTTTTAATTCACCAAAGGGTCCCGAACAAGAAACTGCAATCAGTTTTTGGCGTCATTTTTATGTGACTTAAACTTCGTTCAGGGACACTAAATACTTACTGGCTAAACCCAGATTGGCTTTTGCTTTCTGGGTCAGGTTCTCGATATAATTCATCCATTTCGCTGGGCTTCTTAAGCCCATGATATGCTCGAAGCTCAAAATGTTCGTTTAAAGCTTCATAATTTACGTTTTCGTTCAGTCCAATCTGAAAAAAAACACCATATAAGCATTAGAGCTACAGTTTTCTAAAAGCAATGATATTATTTAAGTATAAAGGCGCCTTTATCTACTTTATCGTTCAAGCACACTAAAGTGCATCTATTAATTATTGACATTTAAAATTTAAACTTTAAATTGTATTTTTACTTGAAAGTGATTTTAAGAACCAAAAATGAAAAAAGAGCAGGAAATGGAAGTGGCAGAGAAAGAGAAAGGAGACGAACATTTATGTCGTCGTTGTAAATTTGTTTTGTTTTTGTTGCGGTACCTTTACGCCCAAGAAAAACCAATGCAATATTTAATTACAAAATTTTATGAGATACACCTACTACTTTAATTTTGCAGGAATATTAAATGGACCTGATATACGACGTTTAATGAAAGATCAAGCATTCAAAAATGCTCTCAAAGTTGACGAGCTTGTCGCATATGGCAGTGTTAAAGCTGTCATTGAAAAAATGCTTTCCGTTTTGCAAAGAATTAGCGTTAATATGTCATTTAAAATACATTTTCTTTTTTTTCATCCTGATAAATTTGCCGAACTGATGAACATGGAGAACGATTTCACCAAGTAACTGCAAATCTAGAGCATTGGTAGATATCTATGGGTATAGCGGAAAGAAGTTGGAATCATTGCTAGGAGACATTTGCTGAAATTTGCAGCAAAAGATGTACGACGATGATGAGGATTAAGCACAATAATACTATAATCCAATTTGATATTTGATACGATTTAATAAATTAAAGGAGCATTTTATTACGAAATTATTTTAAATCCTAGACGTCCTAGAAAAAAACTAATGACATTTTTGAAATCAGTTAAACTAATTTAATGTTAGGAAAAAAAGTTTTTAAAACTATCACTTTGTATATTTGAACTCACCACTGCAACCGCTACACTGTCAAATTCTGCTACTATCAATTGCCTTCCAGAATTTTCATGCCTTGTTAATATTTCTGCAATATAATATTCGCCGTAATAGTCTTTTAGTTTTTCGGAAAACATGTCTATTAGAGGAACTATATCATCATTATCTTCCTCAACGGCCCTCCTTATTTTGTATTTTTTAACGTAGTTCTGCCTTTGCCACATGAACAAAGTTTGGACTGTTCTTGGGTTTAAATAACCTAAAAAAGAAACCTTCTACTACTATTTACTAGTTTTTTCTAACTTCTAAAGCAACTTCAGGCTAATCTGGTTGCCTAATTTAATTTATTGTGTTATTTACACAAATTGAATTGTTAGTAAAATTTAAACTAAACCATTTTCAAAGGATAAAATTAGTTGAGCTAATTGGGGTGCACGCACCGTAAAAACGTTACCTTTTGGTAGTATATGGATGCACCCTTGGTCAACAAAGTTCACTCTTTCGACACCAGGCGGCACCACCATAAAAACATATTCCATATTTTTCATTCTGTAGAGCAATCTGACCATCGGACTCATAACCCCTCTACCGTATCCAGGTTCGTATACCATCAGATGTATCCAGCATGAGTTTCTAGAAGTGACGTTTTCTATACCGTAATGGAATTTAAACCAGTCGCACCTAAAACGTTTTAGTTTTAATGCTACAGGGTGATACAGAAATAATGGAGAAAAAAAAATCGCAAAATTTACCAGTCCCATGATGGTATGGATGCTATATTGGGGTGGTTACTGATGCACATTACTGCTATAACTTCATCATCACCTTCTCTTGTCAAACCCAATATTGCTGTGCTCAAATTTCTAAAAAATGTACATATATGTATACATAAAAAAATCAATAGATACATTTAGGTAGAAATGCCGAAATTTCGGTAGGTTCGACACATTATAATTTGGAAAAATATGAAGAGATGTCATATTTTGAGAATTAGATTACTCTTACACTATTTTTTCCACATTTAGATCCCGACCAAACAATTCATAGGTTTTCTCAGAAACCAATTTCTTCGCTAACTCTACACAGTCTTTATCCAAAAAAATCACATTATTTGTTGTAAAAACGATCGTTCTTACTCTTGTAGACGCCCTTCTGGCAGCCTTAAAGTTCAACATCTCGAGTTAACCTTTTGTAAAAATGTCAATAAATTTATAACAGTGACAGACTCTGACAGAACACCCTGTATACATTTATGTCATGACAAGTGAACTAAACTTTACTTTATTTTTTTTTCAGTTGAGTCTAGGCATTGAGGATGGAATTTTGCAGGCTTATAATCAAGACTTCGAACTCCAATTTTCGCACAAAATTTCCCAACTTTCCCGATTTTCCCAGGCTGATATGGACGCCTGTACCTTTCTGTACCTGCTCAAAGAAGACAGGGAAAATCTTTATTACTGCTACTTGTACCAAGCCAAGAAACCTTTAGATGTAAGTCAAACCTTACTTAAATAAATGTATTTGTTAATCAATTAAAGGATTTAGACGATAACCGGTAATCCATATATGCCGGTTTTTACCGGTTTGTTTAGAAATGCGAAATTCATCAAAAAACATGAAACCGGTAAATCGCCGGTTAGTAGCCGGTAAATTTACCGGTTTTACTTTTTTTGCGCGAAACAAACATTTTTATGAAAACCGGTAAATTTACCGGTTTTACTATTTTTGCGCGAATCAAGCATTTCTAAGAAAACCGGTAAATTTACCGGTTTTACTATTTTTGCGCGAATCTAACATATCCAAGGAATACGGTAAAATTACAGGTTTGCTTTTCCGACCTTTCTATGAAAATCGGTAAATTTACCGGTTTTACTATTTTTGCATAAATTTTAGGCAACTTTCAGATGTAGATTAGATAAATAATAAAACAGAAAAAAATTAGGTTGAAATAAAAAAACATTGGTTTATAAAACATATAAATAGACGATGACAATTATAAATATAAGGAAATAAACATACATAATTTAAACATATGTTTTACATGAAATTTGATCTAATTTTTTAATTGAAGCGACAAAAAATTTCAGTGTTAGTGAAAATGTATACCGTGAAACTTGTTTTACTTATATTATTAAATAATGCGATAAAAATTGATTGTTCGAGCAAATTAAGAACTATTTACCACAGAATAAGCTATGAAGATCAATTTAGTGAATTCAACAAGTTGATAAAAAATCAACACAACGTAATAAGTGATTTACAATACACATCTCTAACAGTTTTTGTACCGAGCAATTCGGCTATGGAAAAATATACAGGAGAGGTCGATGTAAAGTACCACATTACACACGATTATTTGAATTTTGCGGATTTAAGTAAAATGGAGAACATCACCACTATTTTGTACCATAGAGGACCGCCGTTGTGGATTACTAAAAACAACGACAATATTTACTTGAACAATGCGAAAATTTTGATCGAGAAATCGAATTATTTGTCTAAGACTTTTGGAGGTGATTTCGGAAAAGCACAGGTGAATTTATTTAGGTATACAGGGTTTGGTTTTCAAATGGAACCATATAAATATTATTGAATTTTTTAATTCTACTAAAATTTAATTATTTTGACAGATGGTTGGTCTTACTAATATGTCTGTATTACCACTTATTGTAATGTTAAAAAATTAATTGTTTTGTTGTACAAAATAACAATATTTGTATTGTAATATTGCGATAATTGGGTCATTTTCAAGAAACACCCGCTTTTTTATAAATGTTTATAACTCTATAGAGTTTTGTTTACTTACATTTAAGACAGGCAGTGCACTTTTTAATTTTTTTTACGTTTTTTTCAGAAAAATATGTTTAGCTAGCTTTATTTATCTCCACTGTGTTACCAATTTAAAATCCAAAATTTAATTTAAAAAAAAAGTTGTTATAAAAATAATTTGAAATAAAATGTACTTAGTTCACAAACTTTTGACTCCAATTTTTTATTTTATTTTTTATTAAAAATTGTATGCTTTTTTTTTAAATATGTATGTTCGTTAAGTTACTTTTTAAAAGAAACCATTCCGATTCTTTGTTAAAAAAACAATACCATTAATATTTTCTTTTAGTCACTGTATTAGTGAATTAAACTCTAATTTATAAACACGTATTACCAAGTGATAGTGTATAAAAATCATTTAAAGTATTTTTTTTAACAAAAACTAAAAAAAGTAAAGAAATAGACATTGGTATCACAACGGACAGGGGTACACAAAGGACTTAATCAGATAACGTAAAAAAGATATATAGGGTGGTACGATTTTAGAGTAATGCATAAACAAAATCCCTTGTACTGGTGCTCACTTGCAGAATAACAACTTAGATTTCTAAATTGTAGACACCCTTTTTCTTTGACTATAAGCTGGTGAAGGTCCCTTTTAGTACTTTTATATTGCGTGGAATTTTTCCTTGGATGTAATCTATATCATGAGTTGTAATTACAAATAATTTTAAATTGGTTAATCATAAACTACTTTTAATAAAAGCGACGGTAAATATCCACTTTGTTGTCGAAAAATTCTATTGCGTTACCATAAGGTAACATAGTGGACTCAGTAACGCAGTGGACAAAGTTTTGTAAAGCCATATTTAAAAAATAATAATAAGAAATTATAGTCATTAATTACTCTCAATGAGCTTTAGTGCCCTAAAATAAACATAAACATGAAAAATAGTATTTTTTCTTACCTTATTTTTATTATTTTTTTGAGTAACTTAGCGGACAAACAATTATTACATTCGCGTTACCCGCACCTGTTTCAACCGATATCTTGTTCCTGATTGAATAAATAAATTAAGCTGGGTAATGTGTATGTCCGAACATCATTTGTTGATCACGTGAGTACCAAAAAAATTGCCATATATATGTTTTTTTAAATATTCTATCGGTAACGCGACGGACGTAAAAATTAAAAAAAAATATTCTGAAATATCTAAACAAAAATTTCCTGAAAGAGTTTACTAAGGGCTTGTTAGGCTTTCACTTGGTTTATAAATCAATAAGATCCGATAATTTTTAACAAAGTTATTGGAATTCAAACTTACGGACAGCGGAAGGCGGGTGTTTTTTGAAAACGACCCAATTACAATCCATAATTTTAAAATTACCAAACAATTTAGTATTTTTTATCTGTTAGTACCTGTGTATATGTATGTATATGTTTTTTAGGCATTGCATGTGATAGATGAGGTGCTCAACCCAAAATACGAAGACATAAACAATCTAAAAACAGCGTATGATTTTTTGACGAATTCCGACAATAAGGTGACAAGTTTTCTGTACAAAATTCAAGAAAATAAGTTACAGGGTCTGTATAAATCGCCTGGAAAGTACACATTTTTCGTGCCTGTGGATACTGGGATAGATAATTATAAGTATTCCATGATTGATAAGTATGTTGTTCATGGTCATACTATAAAAAACGTTGTTTTATTTACAAAAGCGGCTGGTAAAGATTTTCCGTTTGAAACTATGGCTAATGGGGATTATATTTACATTGTTTTAAATGTAACCGAAGTGTACGGTAGATTTTTTGTGAGAAGTAAAACTATTTTGGGCGATACCACTCACCAAAAAGGTGATACGATAGCGGAAATAATAAAAGCGAATATACCTGTTGGAAATGGAGTTGTACATTTAATAGCAAAACCTTTGGCTATATTTGAGAGAAAATTGAAACCTTTCCCATACCTACCAATACTAGAAAAGCTTTCCAACGATCCAGATTTGGATTACGTATACAACAAAGCCAGGATTGCCAACCTAAACAACATCCTAAAAGACGAAACTTTAAAGTTAACAGTTTTTGCCGCAAAAGACTCAGCCTGGGTGAAAATGAAAGAAAACAACCTGGAACTTAAAAGCAACGAATTGGACACCCTTAAAAACCACTTGGTGATATCCAACACAGCCTACTCCATGGATAGACTCCTCTCGCTAAGCAGGGCTAACAACTACACCGATCTAAAACTAAAAACACTAAAAGGGGTGCTCAGCTTTACCGTGTTTAAAATGAACGATTATTATATTAAATACCACGACAAGTATATCAAGGTCCACAGGCCTGACTTTGAATGTACCAATGGTATAGTTCACATAATAGATGCCCCCTTAGCTGATATACGGAAAATTCCAGACGTAGAGGAAACTGTGTGGGGGCAAATAAAAAAATGGGTCACTGATTTATAAAATACCAAATAAAGTATTTTGTCGTCATTTATTTATTATTATTTCCATTCCATCAATTCTACGTAACTTGTTTCAAGTGTGCTTCCAGAAACAGGTCTTTCTGGCCTCATTAGAGCCGGGTAGCCACTACAATTATTGACCACGATATCTTGAAAACGGTTCAATATTTTTTTGTGAAATTTTAATGAAGTATTGGGGACACAGGTAGACATATTTAGACATATTTTTTAAACTTACCCCCCACCCCATTTTGAGGGGCGGGGGGTAACTTTGGATTTTTCAATGGGACGATGTTTTTTAGTAGTATTTTTTCAAAAGCACGTTTGTAGAAAAACATAATAAATATTCAAAACATTAGTACCTTGGCGTGTCACAACTCCTGAATCAAATATTTGAGTGATTTTATTTTAAAATATATTCAATTTATCTTAAATTTTTCAATTTTACTACAAACTATAAAACATTAATTAATGTATTTTCATATTTTATCATAGATTCGAATAATAGCAATTTTTAAAAAAATGATAATCTTTGTACTCACTTTTAACCGTCAGTTCTGTGTCCAATGTTAAAATTCAAAATTCCTGCGAAATATTGAAGTTTAAACGTCAAGTCCTCGTTTTAACTCAAATGTTGGTAAAAAATTACCTACAGAGCCCGCCCTTTGCACGACAGTCATCTTGAAAACAATGCAAGCGGCGAAGTTGTGGTGAATGCACGTATAGTTCCAGTCAAAATTTCAGTAGTTATTTTCTTACGTATATATATTTCATTGTAATTTATATAAGGCTACATGTGATTTGTTGATAAGTAGTATCCACTAATAAAAAATGTCAGTAAAATACTTAATTCCGAGTTATAATCTCAAATTTCTATCCCACTCATCAGTACCGTGTCGTCAGTTCCATGTTCGATGTTTCGGTAATATTTTTTTCGCAAACTTCAATTTAAATTCTGCTTGCGCAGAACTTGTTTATTTAATGTTATTATAAACTCATATTAATTTGGCGTGGGTCCCATATCTAATAATTGAGATATCGGTATACCCAAAATCCACCAGCCGCCACTGATGTGTGGTATTATTTGATTTTAAGATATTTAATGTATAATATGCTCAAAGTTGCAATAAATCTTATATTTTCCAATAAATTATGTATTTAACTAGTACCCTGGTATACTCGTCACTTCCCTTGCATTTAAATTTAGAAAACACAGATATTTCAGAAACTGTTTGAAAAAGTGACTGGCCCGGT